TGGGTACCTCCCACTTGCTAATTTGCAGGGACACTGCTGGCTTTTTTCACTCAGTGGGACAGGTCTGGTACAACATGCTGTGTTGTTTCATGCAGAGTGGCTAAACTGTACGTATAATAACAGTTTGCTGTTATTTATTGTCAAAGCAGTGGAGATGATAACATTAATTATTGTTATAATAAAAGTCAATGGCCGAGACTCAACTGATATTAAGCAGTGTTACTTGATTAATTTCCTTCCTTTGTGCATTTGTCTCATTTGCATTTTAAAATTACAATTCCTAAAGAGGCAATATATGTCACTGTAGGGCATCATTAAAAGATTTAGGTACAGGTTTTGGGCAGCAGGAGGAAACCAGCGTTCTTATCAGCCTGTCAGGGAATTTCAGCTCTATTGAAACAATGAGATGAAGCTTCATGAAAAGTGAAGAGTGCCGTTAATGTCTGATGAAACATGAAAGCTTAGTGGCTGGTAGTGGAATTATGGTCTGTTCAGGACTGTCCAGTAAACAGTTTTTAACCTCCATTGTCAAAGACAACAGTGACACGTAATACCCAAAATAGGTTATCCACTACAGGCAGTGTATTTATGAGCAGTCTATGAGCATGTCACAAGCTATGGTTGAGTAAGACTTTCAGGTTTCGAGGTATATCACTCTAGGATCACATTTTCTTTCCTTGCAATTGAGAGTAATAAAACTTTCAGAACTCTGTAAACCTTATCAAATGAAGATGAGGATTTGATCTGATGACATCTAATTTCTTTGAAATAATTTAGTTGTTAACTTGCTAAATTTTACTCTTATCACCTTAAGCATGTAAGCTGCTCATTTCAGTTAGATGGTGTCCAGACAGTGAGAATATTGCTGCCCATAAAATCAAGTGAAATGTCTGTATTTTGTCCTCATTAATTGAAAAAGCAATTATAATAATATCGACAATAATATAAACAAGGAATCCTCTTTAAAGTAAAAAGGACTTTCTGAGGTGCCTTCAGATTACCTTACAGAGAGACACAAATTATGTGACCAGCCTTTGATGGGAGGTAGTCTGGTCCATCCCAGAGTTTTTAAACACCCAAGGAGATTACTCTGTTGTAGAGGACAGTACATTATCAAATGGAACATCCCAGTCACTCAGCACTCTCAGCAGCTGCAGCAGCTGTAGGGAGGTTAGTCTGTTTAAGAACTACCCTGGAAAGCAGTTGAGATATAACACCGTACTTAAAACCTGTTGTCTGGGTGATAGGTGTGACTCCTTAAGAATAAAAACAAATGTAAAATCTGGAATTTGGCATGGGAGGATTTAAAAAAAAAAAAACAAAACTAAAGTTCTTATTTGTTAATGTTAGGTCAGTAGTCAGTGGGATATTCCAGCAGGTGATTTGAATCATTAATCACTTCTCAGATGAGTGGGTTTTTTACCCGATTATCCAGTAGTAAAAGGATCTGCTATGTGAAATTGCAGGTGTTTCTAGAATACTGTAGAAATAGAACACTGTATTTTGAGATTTCTCAATGTGCAGAATTATGCAAAAAAGGTTAGAATTTGACAATCTGATCATCTTTCCATAATAAGATGAGACTGGATGTGGCACTTAGTGCCATGGTCTAGTAACCGCAGCTGTAGTGGATCAAGGGTTGGACTTGATGATCTCAGAGGTCCTTTCCAACCCGGCTGATTCTATTATTCTGTGAATATTTCTGATTTGTATTATTTCTATCCACAGTCTGAAGTCCCCTTCATTAAAGCTGTGGCATGTAAATATGTCACCAAATACTCTCTAACCATCCTTTCCTCTGACTGTTCCTTTCCAGGGGCCCCAGGAGCTCTTCCACTGCATTTTTGTTTCAAACCATAAACAGATTCTGCTCTTGAGCATTTACATTTTTTTGTTCAAAGCTTGAAAGTTATCTTCTGAGCAAGGAGGAGAGGGAGTATTGTTAAACAACTTGGAAAAGTTGCCCAATGCACCAAGGGCGTTTCAGCCCTCTGACCACCCCGTTCGGATGACGAGGTGGTGCATACTTTCTAGGAGTGGGAGGGAAAGGGCTGGAGGAAAACTTGTGTGGTACACTGAGCTCCCCAGCCTGCTCCAAGATGATAAAAGCTTTGGAATCAAGGCTTAGTGGGTCCTTACTCTTTTAGTGGGCTGTTTGGGAAGGGAGATAGCATCATTTTTTTTCCCTTAGGACCCAGGAAGGAAAAAACCCACCAAGAACACACAGAAGGAGGAACTATTGGTATTTCCATGGGCCTTTTGAAGGTTACTGCTGCTTGAGCCTCCTTACTCCCTCCTCTGCTTGTTCCAAGCAGGAGCAACAGGCATGTGACCAGCCAGTGCCTTGTGCTGCTTCATTTGAGGTCCCCTCCCTCGCTGTTAGGGGTGACATTACATCCAGTACTCCCCAGCCCAGTGTCCAAGTCTCATTCCCTAACAGTCTTATGTTCTGTGATTCATTTAAATGGGGTCACATCAGCAAGGGAAGTGTTTTGAACCCAATTAGGAAGGGCTTGGGCTTCCTTCGTTGCTACACAGAACAGCATATTTGTAGCTCCAGGGGAGGAAAGACACCCCTGGCAGTTTTGTAGGCATTAGGAGTGGAAGAGGGAAATCATTAAGATCTGGTGACCTTAAATGACTGTCACCCCTTGGTAAGAGAGCTGTCCATCAGGAGCATGGGGGTGGTGGTATAAGGAAGGCAGAGGTGAGCAGTTGGCACAGGGACAGTGAGTGGGCACAGGCTGATCCTGGTAACAGCAGCGGAGGTGGGAGTGGAGGTGTGTGACGGCTCCACTTGGCCTGGACATGCAGAGCCAGAAGATCAGCATTGCTGCTACTTTCCCAAAACCTTAGATGAGAGTTCCAAATTGAGCTCCTGACATTGCTGATTTGTCATTTAGAGCAGATGCTTCTTGGCAGCTATGTCGTTAAGGTTGATAATAAATTCAGTGTGTATTACATATACAGGAAAATAGATGTAAACTGTAGCACTTCCAGGATTAAATGTCTTCATGGATTGTGCTTTCTGCCCTGATTGAGGCCTGAAATATGCATATCTATTTACTCACATTTCTGAAAATGTAAATAATAAATATATAAGCATTTTTCAGAATACTCAGAGAAAATTTAGGGAAAGCTTCTTCATTTTTGTCAAATGGTAGCCATAATATTATTTTCCAGAATATGAGTGCAGATTTACAGCAAGGGTACAAAATGTAACTGAAGTCATGATATGTTTGTGAGAGACTGCTTTATTAATTTCTCTTTATGACAAATTAAGTGGCTTTATTTAAACTGCTCGTTGTATTCTACACCACAGAAAGACCTGTTAGGATGACTGTGAGGGAGAGGGAGCTGGCAGGAGCAATACACAGGAGAACTGCCCATTAAAAAAGTGTATGAAGCTGTGCAAAGAAAAAGAAATTATATACAAAGCTGAAACTTTCTTTTCTGCTCTAAGACATGTTTCAGAAATGTTCCACAGCTTTTATTAAGGTATATAGAACTGAATTATCATACCTCATATAGCTCATTCAGAACAGCTTAATTAAAATTAATGTAATTGAGACTATATTCCCTTTGCTGCCTATTCCTGTACAGCATTAAAAATGATGTTGGGATAGTTATACCCAAGTTACCACATTTCAAACAGCTTTATAGCACCTCAGCTCATATGCCAGCAAGGAACTGTTTTGTGTTTCCCTGTTTTTCATCCTTTCTCTAAGAGTCTGCCAGGCTTAGAGGCAGCTTATTGAGCTAAACAGACCTTTATTTTGAGCCACTACATTTTTTTTCCTAATGTTCTTTTTGTATTTACATAGTAGTTAAAATTTTCTAAACAATTTCCCATCATTAATTCCTTAGGCTCCATGGGTTTCATCAGTAAATTAAATGCACTCAGCAGTGTTGTCGGGTGCTGAAACTGCCTGGCACAAGCAGTGAGTGCATTTCTGTGCTAGAAAACACTTAAATTACAAGATGCCAAGCAATCCCTTGGGAATGATCCCTAGGCTGCACAGGACTGTCTGTGCCTAGGAATTAGTTGGGTAGGTGACAGGACCAGGAGCGTTCCAGCAGCCAACTGGTTTTCCAGCAGTGAGGTTGGCTGTGCACAAGCTTGTCCCCTGCCCACCCCTTGGTTCCCAGTGCAGCCACTGGCAGTGCCCCTTGGAAAACAGCTTCTCTGCTCTGGTTTGGCGTCTTTGTCCCTACAGTGTCCTGGGAGGTTTTGCAAGTCGTGGTTAAACTGTTCAGTGGGGGCTTGTGCTGATGTTCTTATTTAGTTAGGTGTATGAGGACAGCTCTAGGAAAAGTCATGCGAGACAGTGCATTCCTAGTGGAGTGCCATTCCCTGGAATGCTGCCCCAGCCTACCAGCTCCCTGCCGTTTTGCAGGTGGGAACTGGGAACTCACCTGGCTGGGTGAGCTGGCTTCTCTCCAGGAAGACTCTGCATCTCAGGGCATGGCTGGGGCCTGCTAAGGCAGAAAGCACAAAGGTTTAATTGGAAATTTTTAAGGGGTTTTTTTTGGTGTTGTTTGGTTTGTTGTTTTTGGGTTTTTTTCTAGCAGTAGCTGAAAGTCACCTGTTTTTTCCTGGGCAGAGCTCTTCTCTTGGGGCTGCCTGCACTCAGTCTGGCCGGTGCATTAGGCAGACAAGGAGGAGTTTCAGGGTCTTATCTCCCTCACAGTGCCTTTGGTGTGAAAGGCTCTGTGGCATTTTCAGACACAGGGCTACAGTCTATGATGTTGTGCTTTCAAGTGCACTTAAGTTCAGTGCCTTTGAACGAAAGGAAGTAACACTTCAGGATTTAGTGTTTTCTTTTTGGATGGTTGATTGTCAAGATTTGAGGGCTTTAGCCCATAGAGTTTTGAACTTTTTCCTCTATTCTTTTAACCAATAAGTATAATCTTGTGGTTCAACTTAGCAACGTCTTTGTGAGTCTGGTTATTTGTAAGGTGTAAAGCTGATCTGTTATTTTGATATTGCCCCCCAACAGCTGACCTGAACAACGTCAGGTTCTCGGCGTACAGGACTGCCATGAAACTCCGCAGGCTGCAGAAAGCCCTCTGCCGTAAGTAATCTGTTTGTGCCTCACCTGCTGCCAGGAAGGCTTCATGACTGATGCACAAGTTTATTCACAGCTTTCAGAAGCAGAAAAGTGCTCCCACACATACCCCTGCTCTGCCTGGTGCATGGAAACCTCCAACCTGAAGGGTCTTTGCTGCCTTCGGTTTGTATGGTCCTTGCAAAACCAAAGTGCTGGGGATATGCAGACCTGTCCCTTGTAAGACAGAGCAGCGGATCAGAAACAAAAGTTAACATCCCCTGCATATTTCTTACCTTTACACAGCGTCCTGTGTCAGCCACAGCTTTACAGGGGAAAGGAACACAATTGTAGCATGTTGGGAACATTGAGAGCCTTGAGTGAAATAATCACTCCACAACTGGAGTTGCTAATGTTTTGTTAAGTTGAATCTTGAGCCCTGAGGGGTTATTGCCTTTAAATGAGATCATCACAATAAACATTTAGCTTCATTTTTCCCCAGCTTTCGTTTGTGTTGAGAAGTCTCTCATCAGCTGTACATTAGTGGTGTGCATGTTCTAACACCTTAATTCTCCCAACTGCCGTATGGTATTCTACTTGTCACTAGAGTTACATTTCCTTTTCAGCTTATTGTAACTTGATAGCTAAATAATTTGCTCAGAGTTTTCTTGATAAGCCAGTCAGTTGCCAAAACAAGCAGTTTATTAGGCAGTCCAATTGTGAGGATTATTAAAATATTTTAACATTCACTATCTGGCATTTAATTACAGGGTTAAATGTCTGACACAGTTGCAAATGTCTCAACTGTTGATTTATCTCAAGTTTGGATTTGTGCTCACATGCTTTCTGGAACTTTGTCAAACCTCGGTATTTTTGTGTATGTTTACTTTTAGGCTTATAAGCATGGGTGAATTCCATTAAAGAACAGACTTAATTTCTGAATGTATTAAAAATTAGGGGAAAAAAAGAGGAAAAAATAAAAAATAGATGACAACTTTTGTAACATAATGAAAGATTTCAACGGTAATGCAGTGACAAAGAAGGAATTATGATGATCAGAAATAGAGGTATCTTTCCATGGTACAGCACTTCTGCCACACTCACTGTGGAAACCTGGTATAAGGACACAGGAGTGACATGCAGTGAAAAATATTCATAATTAGTGCAGCAATGAAGTAAGAAACTAAAATTTTTGGAATTGCAAGTTTCACTAGCTGGCAGTGCACAAGTGTAACTCGTAACAGGTTTTTATGACTGGAAGTGCAAAACTTTGCATTCCATTTTATTTGTATTAGAATTATAGAATATCCTGAGCTAGGAGGGACCTGAAAGGATCATTGAAGTCCAACTCGTGGCCCTGCATAGGACAGCCCCAAGAATCACACCATGTGCCTGAGAGCATTGTCCAAACGCTTCCTGAAATCTGGCAGGCCTGATGCTGCCACTAGGTACTGTGGCCGCATCCCTGGGGAGCCTGTTCCAGTGTTCAACCACCCTCTGAATGAAAAACCTTTTCATATTATCCAACCTAAATTTCCCCTGACACAGCTTTATATTCCCTTGGGTCCTGTCACTGGTCACCACAGAGAAGAGATCAGTGCCTGCCCCTCGTCTTCCCCTGACGAGGAAGTTGTAACTGCGATGAGTTCTCCCCTCAGTCTCCTCCAGGCTGAACAGATCAATTGTTTTCAGCCACTGCTCATACAGGTTCCCCTCCAGGCCCTTCACCATCTTCGTTGCCCTCCTTTCGATGCTCTATAAGAGCTTAATATCTCTCTTATATTGCAGTGCCCAGAACTGCACACAGTATTCAAGGTGAGGCCACCCCAGTGCAGAGCAGAGCAGGGCAATCCCCTCCCTCGACTGGCTGACCTGATGCCCCCAGGACATGGTTGGCCCTTCTGGCTGCCAGGGCACTGCTGACTCATATTCAACTCACAAGTCCCTTTCCATGACATTGCTCTCCAGCCTCTCATTCCCCTCTCTGTATGTACCTCCAGGGTTGCCCCATCCCGGGTGCAGAATCCAGCACTTGTCCATGTTAAATATCATGCAGTTCGTTGATTGCCCAGCCCTCACTTTGTTGAGGTCTCTCTGCAGGGCCTCCATGCCTTCAAGGGAATCAGTAGCTCCTCCCAATTTAGTGTCATCAACAAGCTTAGTATACCTTCAAGTCCTGCACTGAAGTCATTTATGAAGATGTTGAGGAGCACTGGCCCTGGAATGGAGCCCTGCAGAACCCCGCTAGGGAGAGGTCACCAGGCTGATGTCATCCCATTCACTATCACCCTCTGTGCTTGACCCGGGAGCCAGCTGCTCACCCACCACATGATGTGTTTATCCAGCTGTGTGCTGGACGTTTTGTCCAGAAGAATATTGAGAGACGAAAAGCTTTACTGAAATCCTAAAAGATTACACCAAGTGCTTTTGCTTGGTCAACTAGGTGGGTTACCTTGTCCTAAAAGAAAATTAAGTTTGTGAAGCAGGCCTTTGCCCTACGGCCTGTGGGAAGGACTCACGTTGGAGCAGTTTATGGAGGACATGTGGGAGGGACCCCTCACGGGAGCAGGGAAAGAGTGTGAGGAATCCTCCCTCTGAGGGGGAAGCAATGGCAGAAACAACATGTGATGAACTGGCACAGCCCCCATTCCCTGTTCCCGCTGTTCCCCTGCACTGCTGCAGGGGAGGAGGTAGAGAATTTGGCAGTGAAATTGACCCTGGGAAGAAGAGAGTGGTTGGGGGATGTGTTTTTAAGATGTAAGATTTATCTCTCGTTATCCTGCTCTGCTTTGATTGGTAATGAATTCAGTTAATTCCCCCAAGTCGGGTCTGTTTTGCCTGTGTCAGTAACTGGTGAGTGATATCTCCCTGTCCTTATCTCGACCCATGAGCTTTTCGGTGTATTTTCCCTCCCCTGTCCAGCTGAGCAAGGGAGTAACAGAGCAGCTTTGGTTGGTATCTGGCATCCAGCCAGGGTCAGTCAACCTGCTACAACTTTGCCATGTGGAATTGTAATTATGTGCTGCAGTCAGTTCATCTCTTGAGGTTACACTTAGGTAAATTTTCAGAGAATTGATGCTTTTAGAGACATGCAGTGGCGCTGACACTGATTACTCTAGCACATTCTTCATACTTGTATCTAAGGAGAAGTATTTAAGGAATTTGGTTAGCAGCCTTTGTTCTTACAAATATTTTTGCCTGGAGACACCATCATTGTATTTGTGTATTCTATCATTTCAGTGTCGCTTCTGAACTAAGTTTAATTAGTTAAAAAAAAAAAAAAAAAACTCAACTCATTACAAAATTCTTTTCCTGCATTTTGGCACTAGTAGAATTGGAGCACAGTGCTGGATTTCAGGGCTCCTACACCTACGCAAAACCAAAATCCCACTTGAAGTAGGTGCAGCTTTCAGCTCTGTTCATTTCAGTTTTAAAATTGCAGGATTTTATATATTCTTTTCTGCTTCATAGAAAGCAGAGCAGTTTTGTCTACTGAGGAGCACTCTAAAAATGTGTGCACAGTAGAAGGCCTGCAGAAATAAAGGTTCAGCCTATTTCTCAGTAACAAGAATAGAAACATTTTTTTAAAAAGAACTAACTTGAGTTATTTTCAGTTCGTAAATCAGCCCAATGAACATTAAGACACTAGGATATTAAACCTAGAGAAGAATATAGAAAATAACAATCGTTAACAAATAAATACTTGTGTACTCTGTTACCTTAGAAGAATCTAATCTAATGTGACTCTTATCATCCCAGCCTTCAAAATTATTGTGAGCATGCCAGGTGTAGCTATTGCACCAGGGTTTTTTTTAATGTATGCTTTTCTTTGATAATCACATCAAAGCGTGATGACTTTCTTGTTTTGCTACTTTTAAAGATCTGATCTTCGAGTGCAAACCACATCAGAACATTATGATCTAAATAAAATGAGATGTATTTTCAAACATTTCTTGGAGATGCAGCAAAAGAAAATGTCCAAGAACTTCTGTTAAGGGTCTTTTTCCCTTTAATTTTATACAGGCTATATTAAATACATTTTTTTTACTGTATCAACCAACAGCAGCAGGTTACAGAGGAGATGATTTGTGTTCTGGGAAGACCATTAATACTTTTTATCACCAGCCATATGTTGAGTTTTCTCTAAGTTGAGCTTGTGCCCTCCACAGTGTACTTTCTTCTGCCTATAAATTGTCACTTCTGTCCTTCAGCTGGTTACTTATTCTAAGTTGTCTTTTAGCCTTTTCCTGCAATTTGGCCACAGGTTGATGTCTTGTTACAAACATCTTAACATTTTTTATATTGCCTTAGAGGCCAAAGAAGTATTTATATAAAGGACTTAGACTTCAAAATAAGCTAGAAGCCACTGCTTACACAAATTTTGGAGTCAGTTTTGGGAATTTAAATATAAAAGAGTAAAAGAGTGGCAGATAACCCACGAAAAGTGCGAAGTATTAAGTGGTATGGTTTATTTCAATTAAGGCTTTTCAAATCACTGAATGGCACCAAATAGTCATCTCTTCAATACACATCTGACTGTGCAGCCTGTCTTTTGAAAGTTGGTCTTTCATGGGACCTCCATATTTGCTTCTAGGAAAGAAATGCATAGTTTCATCCTCTGGGAGGGGACCCCTCCACATTCCTTCAGTCTTTGTGGGAAAGATGCAGGGGGAGCTTAACGTGGCCAAGGCCAGAGCCTTCCTTTTTCCTTTAAAAGAGGTTCCCTAAAGCGGAGCACAGTGGCAAGCACTTTCTGCTTGTTAGGAGATGATCATGTGTTATTAACTTCAGGATAGGACAGGAGGTTGATGAAGAGTGGGCTGAAAGACTTTTCAAAATATGCTGCTTATTAGTGGGAAAAGCTTTCACAAAGTGGAATGACCCATGTTTAGCAGTAGCTGCATATATAATTAAGCTGTCACTCAGATGCCTGAGGGGTTCATTTAATTACCGTTGATTCGTAGTCTCAGAGGAACTGAGAGTTCAGTCTAAAGCTCAGAGTTATAGGTGTTGAGAGGGCTGTGCTCTATTTTCAACTTGACTAATAAATTCTTAGAAGAAAAACATCTTTCTGAGACTGTCAGAAACGGATCTGATGCTTTTGTGGGATATAACAGTGACCTTAGAATAGACATACCTTGTATGCTACTAGATTAAACATAACATTCCAAAATACTTTCTTTTAATAAATATCTATATGCTAATGTGAAAAAAAGCTAAAATTCCAATAAACCCCTTCACAAAATCGTAGAATCAAAGTGAAATTTCTTGGTTTAATAATAGGGATAGCATTCCAAGCTTTCCTTATTCAGTCTAGCACTAGGTATGTCAGGCCCCAGAGGATGAAATTTTCAGAAGTGCTTAAGGGATTTAGTAGCAGAAGTAAGTCCCTATTGATTTCCAATAAAAGGTATAGTCCTGAAATTCTTTTGGCAATTATGAAATCCCAGCATACTGTCCATGCAGCATAACCAATCAGCCCTGTGGGCAGCTAAGGTGTTTCTGATCTCCCACTGGGACATCAAAGGGGCAGTTTCATCCCTGGTAAAATAGGATACTCAAGTGTGAATTTGGCAAATGTGCCTTTAAGCAGGATCAAGTTCTAAAAAAATTCCTGTATGGTGTTCTGCATTTAGCTTCTGCACATTATGGAGGTTTTTTGACATTAAGATGTTGCTTACCAGAACTCAAGGAGCACATTTTTGTTCCAGTGAAAGAAAAACTGGTCTTGCAGTTGGGTCAGTTCATTTTCCAGTTTTGTGAAGAATTTCCTGGATGATTTTGGGCAGTTCATTTTGGACCAGATGCTACTCCCTTGGGTCATATTGAATCATGCTACACTTTGTGACTGCTCGTGGTATGAGCAGGATTAACAGCATCTGGGCTTTAACATCCCCATTGCTCACACTCTGGAAATTCAGTGCAAGGAGTTGCAAAGGGTTTTCATATAGCAGCAGGAAGACCTGTGTTAAGATCTGTCCTTTTTCTGATTTCCTTTGTTCTTATTCCTGTTTCACTTTGTAAACCAACATCCCATAATTTCATGTCCCCCTAAGTGTGATGCTGCTGGTGATATTAGTATGCAGGGTTAAAAGCTGTTTTACCTTGGACATCCTAATTTCAAAACGCAGGTGACTTCAATTGGAATGAAAACCAAGTTTTTAAATGTCTGTGACAAAAAACTATTGTATGTTGACTAATATATTTAAATGTGTCTTACTTAATGTCATAAAGGTATTTATAACTGTAAATACTCTTCAGAATTAAAAATGGATAAATGTAATTAAGAAATAATAAACCAGACCATTTAATGTTTCTGGAACCTTCTTTTCCCTGTTCTCACCAGAGCAAAAAGTAACAGAGAGGTTAATCACAGTTCAGTTGTTATTTGTTTGTGTATTCCTTGTGGAGTTTGGTTCAGTTGAAATCCCTGGACTTCTGTAAGAAATGGACAGCATATCTCAGGAAAGCTGATGACCTGTACTGTGTTGAGAGCATGCTTGGTGAATGCAGTAATCAAATATTAGCCTGTCTATCTGTAGGAATATAAAGCATGAAATATATAATGTTTACTTACATAGTAATTTATGTGTAATGTTTCCGTAGGATCCAAGATCCTATTAGGTACTTTACAGCTAAAAATGAAAGAGATACACACTGGTCTCTAAGGCCATAGCTGAATAAACAGTGCATTTGTAGGAGTCTTGAAACCAATCTTGTATATGACTTTTAGAGGACGTCCTTTGGCCCAACCAGTAAGCTAAGTAAAGAGTGCTATTTACATTTAGGGTAATACAACCACTGTTTCTCTTCAGTCTTTATTGGGATTTATTTTTTTAATTCTAACAGTGGATCTCCTGAGTCTGTCTGCTGCATGTGATGCCTTGGACCAGCACAACCTCAAACAAAATGACCAGCCGATGGATATTCTGCAGATCATTAACTGCTTGACCACCATTTACGATCGACTGGAACAAGAGCACAATAACCTGGTCACCGTTCCCCTTTGTGTGGACATGTGCCTCAACTGGCTGCTGAATGTCTACGACACGTATGTCTGGGTGCTCTGGACTTGGGGTGCTTGGGAGCTTTCCCGATAGCAGGAGTGGGGAAGGGGGGAAGGGGTAACGAGCTCCTCTGCCTCATTAGCACGTGGGTGGCTTGGAGCTGAAAAAAAGGGGTAGTTGAAGTGAAAGTTTAATAAACCTAATAAGTCTAATGGTTTAATGGCTGCATTTAGCTGAATCAATACAGCCCTTGGTTAGGCTTACAATCCTAGATTTATTAAGCCAAACAGTGAGAGAGCTGGAAAACAGAACTTTTTAAGCTTCTATGTTTGGACCAATTTGTGTGTTCAGGCCAATTCTGTGACTGCATGTCCTCAGTAGGTCATGGCTTTGTGTGGCTTTTTAATTTATTTAGATAAAGAAGTTCAAGAGAACTATCAAGAAGCAACAGAATGAACATCATCATATAAACTCTTGTACGCATCTGTACTTCTGGTGTTAAATCTTTTCAAATATGTCAATTTTCTATAGTTTTCAATCTGTCATTCTTGTTCAAAGATGGAAGAGGCTCATCTCTGATCTGATGTGCTTACAACCCTTAGCAGTCAGGAGATTTGAGAAATACTTAAATCAAAATTCAATTTTAAGAAGTGTACCCATAAGTGTAAATACAACAGACTCAATTTACCTGAAGAAAATTTATGGGGTTTCCTATTCATTGGGCTAATGATGTTGCTCACAGTGCATAGGCAGATTCCAACACACATTTGTAATCTAGTTTTAGAATAAGCCATTATATTTTTATTTGGTGAATTAAGTGAAAAAAAAAGTTATTGTAAGTCTATGGCTTGCACTTTTAAGGTTTTTGTCAGCCACTTGCAGCCAGACATGCTCATCACTGGTAGAATAAACATTTACCTATAGAAATGGGATAATTACTGTATTTCCATTGATATTTTGAACAATACTGAAGTGGCATAACATTGTTGTTCCATCCAGCACTGGATCTTCAGTGATCACCTGCAAAAAACAAAAATACAGATTTGTACAGATCCTGTTTTTCTACGGGATCACCTCCAATAAGCCAGTTGTTTGTGGCATCTTCTGTAGCAGCTGCAGTACCCTGTGAAATGGATTACCCAGATTACATTATATTTCTTGTAGTGTACCAGTGCAGAATGGGGCTATATTCATTTAAGAGCCAGGTTTTATTTCTTTAATCTGCTTTGGCTTTCACAGAACTCTGATCCACTCCTGAGTTATCATCAACCATAAATAACATATAAACGAAGACACACAGTTTGTGAAAAACAAAAAAATGTGCTAGGGGTGTTAATCTATATCAGCCACATCAGAAGCAGAGATGGAACTAAAGGTCATTCCACAGGCTGCTCCTAAGCTGAACCGTCCGGTTTAGCTTTGCCATGTCCAGTCTGGTTTTCTTCGTGTTGCACTGTACTGCAAGTACAACATTAGAAATTATAATTGTCTGCCTCCAGGCAATTCTCAGGGTGTGCTAGGGAGCTGCACATTGCAGGACACAATGAAACACAGAGGTGTTTTATGCATGAGGAAAGCTTGTAGCTATTTTACCTAAATTCAAGTTTGAATTACACTGGTAAGAGAGATGACCTTGGGGTTGCACGTGTTTAGTTTTCATTGTAAACTTAATAGGCAGAGATCAACCGAAGTGCATAGCAGTACCGGAGACATTTAATTAAATGTACTGAATCTTTACTTTTCTTATAATTGAAAACTGTCATTTGTAAAGATATTAATCAAATTCACAGTCAATGACTGATCTAATTATGGGCACATCTCTGCAAATCCAGCTCGTTTCAGATTTGTTTTAATTGATCAGTCACTCATGCTCATTTGCAGTAGCATGCTAAATTATTGGTTTGACTTGGGAGGAGAGGAGAGTGAACTGAACAACTCATGATTCATACAAGTTTCAATTTAATATGCCTTGCAGAGAAATCATCATTCTACATTCTTCTCTTGTATAATTTGCATGAGCCTGGTATTCATCAGGAGGAGTTTCTCAGGGCACAGATTATAATTAATTTGGAAAAGATTTGAGGGAGAGGAGTAAGAGGAGTGGAGTGTGGAAAGCATAGGTGAACAACAAATGCTTATTCATGATGGAAAACAAAAGATTCTTTAGTAAAAGGTAGCAAATTCTAAATTTGGCTTTGTTCACCAGTTTGTGTCTGCACCTTTTTAGGATTTGCAGGGGAGATGTGTGGGTAAATGAGAACCACTGGCTCCACAACACTTTCACAGGATTAAAAAGACAACTTGCATCTTTGTGGAATGGTGCAGCCTGATGCATGACCATGGCATACCTCTGTATGATTTATCTTACTCCCAATGGTGGTCTGACTGGTGATGCTTCAAAGCTGTTGATAAGGCTCTGCTTCAAAAATGTTGGGTTTAGGCACTAGCTTCCTATTTTGTATATGTCTTCGCTTGCAATAGATGTTACAAATTTGAAATGCCATCAGAAATAAAAGTCTGGGGGCGAATCCAGCAACTGGAAGTAAATAGAGTTAAACCAGATGACTGAGAGAAGATGTGAAGGTTTGTCGCTGCACTGCCTGCAGCTCAGAGGAGGATGTTGTTCTCACAGTCACATTAAAAAGCAAAAGTAGTAGCATGAGCATGTTACAAGGCAGTACTGAGTGTGAGGGGGAGGCTGACCAGAGGCAGCAGGGGGGACTGACTGGAGTGAGTGTTCCAGCCCATGGCGCTGCACAGCACAGGTTTGAGTGCGGTGAAGAGGAGCTCAGAAACCACACCACAGTGTTAATGGCATAACTGCCTTGCCATGCCTCCCTGCCTGCCATGATTTTTAGGCAAGTCTCATCATTCACCTGAATGTCTTGCAAGTGTCTCTGTCGCTGCATCCTGCTGGCAGAGGCTGCTTTTTGTGCTTGGCTCCCTGTTGCCTTTTCAAACAAGTCAGGGCAGGGCTGACAGACAGTAAGCAAAGACTTCTTAAAAACGACTGCTACGTCACATTTCTAGTGAAAGTGAAGCTGTGTTGTCTTTAGCAAAGGGACTGGTTTGCTGTTCTGTCAGGAACCTTGTCTTCTCTGAGAATTGCTCAGCAGCAGTTCACAGAGAAGCCTGTTCAAATAAGCATAGGGTAAAGGCTCTTCACTCGCTTTTGTCCGAACAAAGGGGATTATTTCTAGTAGAAAGCAATTATTTCTAGTAGAAATGGATACAACAGTACAGACCAGTTCAGCTATGCCTGTGAAGCCACAACCATGTTTTATATTTCGTTTCTAGCTTATCTAATAACCGCCCAGCTTGTGGTCTGCAACATGGTTCTCTGTGGGACTTAATTTAGGAAGGCACACAGTACTGCAGTGAACTTGGTTGCAGTAAAGAAATCGTGGTATGAATGGACCGTATTACCAGCCAATGTTTCTTTTCCATTAGGGGTCGAACAGGAAGGATCCGTGTCTTATCCTTCAAAACTGGTGTTGTATCCCTTTGTAAAGCACACCTGGAAGATAAATATAGATGTAAGTCAATGTAATTATTTTGGTTTTACCTCACGTTTATATTCTTGTTTTGTTCCTCCTTTTATTTATTGCGTAAACATTTAAATAGCATACAAAGTCATTGTTTTAGATATTCTAGATGCAAAGTGTGTTAATTTGTTCCACCTTTTAAGTTATTTATTCAGTAAGGTTTTTGGTATTTTAGCACAGTGGTCTCCAAACATTTTTGATCACACCCCTACCAGTAAAAAATTTTTGAGCATGAGATGTATATCTATTTATAAATTATATACATGTAGCTGTGTATTAATATGTTGTCTGCATTATAAAACACACAAAAAATAAAACAATAGAAAGAATGTGATAAAGACTGAATAAACACTATTTTGAAAATTTTAACTTGATCTGTTTAATAGCACCAAAAAATATTTCCATACTGCAACCTAATGAATTATTTTGAACACTCCCTGGGGCACAAGAAACCCTTTTTGGAGACCACTCGTTTGGCACACCTTTATACACAAAAATGCATGTCTACAGTACACTTGCATTACACTATTTTCAAATATATTAACTTTTTAAAATGTTTTTTCACTTTGTGATCAGTCTTATTATGTACATTGTGTTTAAATATAGTTGTTACCATTAAAAATATATTAAAGGTGTGCAAATTATGCATATTTTAATAGACAAAATACTTGAAAAAATTCCACTAGAAGTCTTATTTTTACCTGACTAGTGAATCAGTTCATTAATGAGACTAGGATCCAAAAAAGAACTGGTAAATGTAATTCTCAAGAGTAACTTTCTTGCTAAATTAACTAGTATCGCTCATTCATGCATTTAAAAAAAAACACAAAAAACTGAACCTTTAGGATTTGACCCAATGCCATAGCAGTTCTTCATCAATTGTTATCTTTTATTCTCTACTAATGAAAGCTGAAGAACTCTAAAGAGAAAAGAGACAGTACCAACAACAGAGTCTGTGCGTGAATATGTATAATTGGATCAGATTTTAGGGCAATCACAATGAATGTCACAGATTTCTAGATATCCTATGTGAGTGTTGTGAAAAAATATTCAGAAAATCTTTTAAGAAAATTACTCAGTACAGGTATTTTTCAAAATGATATTTCACTGCGGATTATGAAAGTTATAAAGGAAAGCATTTATTCATATTTTAGATTCTCCTGCAGTGTATATGCATGGTAATGCATAACCTATTGTGTGTCCTGTAACCTTCTCGAGGTTATAGGACACTTGATGTTTTAATGATGGGGAAATCAAAAGCTGAATAGTTGTGAGAGAGGAAGGAATTGTGCCTGTCAGGCTGTGGTCTGACTTTGCCATCCATGCTGAGGTCATAGTGCAGTTGCTGTTAGTATTGCTGCAAGTATGCAATGAGTTGCAGCCCTTACAATTTTTTCCCTCATTTGTGCAGCAGAGCAGAGTTAGTTGTGTTAGAGCACAAGTCTTCAGGCTCGCAGAGGTGATGGAAGGTTTCATCCCAAAATGATTTATGTAAAACTAGACTTTGCAAGAGTGAAATTCATGTAATTAAAATATAATCTTTTTTCTATCCATTCCTTTATTCCTTTGGAAGAAAACAGGTATCAAAGCAGCAGTAGGAAAGTTATCTTGAGTAGTGCTGAAGCACCTTTATAATTGCATCCCTAGTGTTGCGTGAAATATTAAGGTGGCTCCAAAAAAAGAACATTATTTTATTCTAGACTTCTTTTGCTCTTTTATTTTTTGAAAAGTAGGGAGAATTTATTCAGGCAACATATTGGCAACAGAGATGTTACCAAATAAATATTTCAGTTAATGCTAGCTGGTTTTTCTTCTTCATATAAATTCTATAAGCTCCTCAATGTACACATAGTATAAATAATTCCCACCAAATTAAATTGATCTTATGAAGTGATAATAATTCTATCCTGTAAGGATTCTTTTCCAGAATGCTGCAGTAACAGAACATGGCTTCAAGTGACATTTCACTTCAGAAGTGAAAAATTAATATGATATTAATATTACTGGTGGATGACAGGTTCTGTCATACATTTTTTTTCTTTTATTTTAGAAATTCTCTTGAATTAAAAGATTATGATATATAAAAATTTAGGAGCTCTTGTTTATCATTTCAACTCATCCAAAGGAGAAATGGATTCTCTAAGTTTTACATTGATTGCTAAGAGTTGAAAAGGGTGCTTTCTGTTGCATGAAATTATTTTACTGTTAAAAAATATTTTTAAAACATCTATGCTGAGGCTCAAAGGTTGTTTCTGATTAGTTGTGTTACAGAGTCACAGCTTCTATCGTCCATAACATCACAGGTGCTGCCTTAGAATGACCTTTCTTCCCGGGTGCAATACAAGCCAGTAATACTATTAAACATTATCACTAGACTGCGTATTTCATAGGAAAACAGCAGTGGTTTTGGGAAGAGAAGCAGCCAAAGCAAAGGCATGTTCATGTTTATGTTCATGTCCACCAAGGCTGTTGACTGCGCCTGTGAGCCTTTGAAACAATGCAAACTTCTGCACTACTTTGGCACATCCTGGCAGTGATTCTTTACCTCTGGGTTCCTTTTCCTTCCTCCAGACCTGTTCAAGCAAGTGGCAAGCTCCACTGGCTTCTGTGACCAGCGCCGGCTGGGGCTGCTGCTGCATGACTCCATCCAGATCCCGCGGCAGCTGGGGGAAGTGGCCTCCTTCGGGGGCAGCAACATCGAGCCCAGTGTCAGAAGCTGCTTCCAGTTTGTAAGTTCATGTTTGCTCACTGTTGATTTTCTGAAGAGGGTGGAAAATCTAGAAGAAGGATTAGGGTATTGTGGTTGTTTATTGGTGGTGTTCGTCGGTGTATTAAGGACCTCGCTGCCACCGTCCAAGCTCGCTTGGCCCCGGCAGATGAACCTTAGGATTAAAGGGTGGGCTCAGTTCCGCGCACACTGTGTCTCACCTAAAAAATCCAATGCGCAGGCTGGAAGGTGTAAAGACCTTCCCCGGATCTTCACTCGTGAAGACTGGCCATTATTATTACACCTTTGACGAGGTGTATTTGAATTAGCTCAGACAGCAGATAATCGTTGTCAGGGCTTATATTGTAATTGAACCCTGCAATCAGTTTAAGTCTTTGTTACAGCAGCTCCTGGTTTTACAGTTTTCTATTTCCAGCAGTAGATCACTGTTTATTGCTGCCATGTAGGTGAACAGCAGTGGCTAATCTAAATTTTGGGCATGTTCATCCCAGTTACAGCCAGATGCCCAGGGGAGTGATAGGAAACTGCCTGCAGTGCTGTCTAGGGGCGAGGAGTGCACTATGAGCTCCTTCTACTCCTTGAATGGATAATGCCATTTTACTGTAAAGAGCTCTGAAAGAATTCCTATCCTGTCTGTTGAGGAGTGCACGGCAAACTTGAGGCTCTTTTTCAAACTTGTAAATTATTTAATCTGGCGAGGAAGAGAGTTATGGGAATTATTCATCCTTATCATAACTACCAGCAGAATGCACAAGATGAAGACAGCTGCTTAATGAAAAGGTAGAGGAGGGGAGGTAATGTATGGTCTGTGATTAACTCTAAATGCATCTTCTACATTACAATGGAAGAAAACTCTTTTCCCATCCCCTGACTGTCCCTGAGGGATTTTTTGTTTGTTTGGAGAAGGGGGGGTTGCTTGCTTTTTTGCCTGCTGCTCAAGTTTCATTATGTAGTAGTTTCAGTTCTGTAGTAAGCAAAACACAGCAAGTGTTTTCAATGAATATTAATGCTTGGAAGTAGACTGCTTACACACAGTGACTATGAAAAGAATCTAATTCTAAAATCATCACAAACTTCAGTTGTGATGGGACATTTGCTTTCTGTATTTTTTGAATTTCTTTTAACAGACTAATTCTACCGGATTCACATTTTCCTGTTTCCATCAGTCATATCTTGACCTTTTATAATTCTAATATCTACTTGATGCCATTTGGAAATGAATGTTTTATAGGGCTGTGTCCTGGGTGGATAACCCATGCTCATAAACTATGTGTAGTAATGGGGCTGTGGCTTTCAAGCCTCGAGTTCAATATTGGGTTTTCGAGTGACACCAACACAAACTGATGCTGCAACAAATTCATGGTCAAAAGTTTGTCCAAATGTCCTTCCTCAGAAATTAGGACTCACTGGATTCTATTTTTATCCCAAGTGAGTAGCAACAGCGCTTAAGAACACTGTTGAAAAACTGAAGGAAAGCGACCTCAGAATCTGGCAAACCCATGTTTTTTGGGAAAGGGGGCTCTCGTTCTGTGTTTAAACTAGGATTAAACAATTAAAGTCATAGTAATGGAACACACAAAACCAGTTTTTATAAAGTAGGAGGAAGATCTTGGAACAACTGTTTATTTGACTAAAATGAGTTAGCAACACTGTCATCACAAATGAAGACATACCAGCAGGCTGAGCACTGTACTGCATCCAGCTGCTGGCATTTCTAGAAGAAGCCCAGGCACAGCTGGGCACAACTCCTTGACCTGTTCATAAATCAGAACATTAGAAAACCTGAGGCTTCCTTCTCTTACCTGTGCTGAAAAATAGATTTTCTTCTTACCTCCAGTAAAAGGAACTTCACCCTCTCATTTTCCTCTGGATGAAGCCTTATTTTAACTCTCAGAGTAGGAGGGTAGTTTCTGACCTGGGCTGCAGCAGAACAGATGGTCTTCTAGGAGGGCCAGAAAGGGGGTGGGAGGGGAAATAAAAAAATAGGTGGGATGGAGTTCCAGGGAGTGGAGCAGAAATTCAAGCATAGGGAGAGCCTAATGGAGGGGAGGGAGAAGGAATTAGAAGTGGAAAAATAAGGGCCCACCATTAGACAATGATGGTAATAACAGTAGTAGGACTAATAGTGCTAAAGGAAACAGAGGGTGGATAGAATGAGGCATGAAAGAAAGGAGCAGCTGGGAATGGAGATGGGGGAAGAAATAAGAACTTTCCAGGAGAAAGGGAGAAGGGAAACACAGAAACATCCTTTCAGTGTAGGATGGTGGGCACCAGGATCCACAGGCTGGGGGGGCAGCAGAGAGGTGCTGGCAGGGGTGAGAGGGAGCAGCCCAGGAAGTGGAGAAGTTGGACAGCCAAGGAGTGTTGCAGGGGGCTCCTGGTGGTTTCCTTTTACCAAAGTGAGATAATTTTAAAAAAATATTGTAGGAGTTCATAGTTTACATTACTGCATGGAAACTAAAGTAAGTCTTTGTATGCCCACGGTGAGTGACGTTTTTACTTTAGGGGTGGTTTTTCTTCTTTCCTTTTTTTTTTTTTTTTGATTCTTTCTGATGATGATAAGCCAGCAATAAATTGCAGTTGTGTCAGAGTCTGCAACAAGTGCATGCCTCAGAAATGGCTCTCTCAGCTCCCTTAGGTTAAGTGCCCTGGCAACGGCCTTGTCTGTCTTCCCAACAGCAGAAAAAAAGGGGATGTTTACAGTTCCCAGCGATAACAGGGGAAATCTCTCCTGCTTTTCAAAGTTCGAGTCCTTGGGAATGCGGCTTGGGGAGGGAGGAGCCTAGCCCTGCTGTTGGCATCAGCCTGCCCACTGCTACTCCTGAGAACTGGGTCCTCTTATCCCAGGGCTGCTGCTGTCCTGCTGCTTCTCACTCCCCCAGCACTAACTTGTGCTTTCCATAGTTCTCTTCATTTACAGGAAGGTGCTGGTAATAATTGCTGGGAGGAGAAGGATATCATGAGACTCGTCTTTCCTGTTTGGGGCAGAGGGTTGTAATTTCTGCTTTGAGATTTTAAAGAAGAAATATTTTTAACTGAGAGCAAGGAGCTTAATCCAGTGACCACTTGAAGACCGTTATAGTTTATAGCTTAAGCTCAGAATGCATCAAAGCAATCTACAGATCCATGAAAAATTGAGTGAATTCAGTATTGCTGCAGTGTGAAAGGACTTCCCTTTCACCCTTCTGTGATGGGTATGTTTTTTAAGTAAACAGGATAGGGAAATGATGTGGACTGAAGGACACATGCACAGTGTTTTAATCACAGCAGAAAATTATTAATATGCTTTCCTCATATAGTGTAAACAGGATCTAGGAATTCACATCACTGTCTTGGATGAGTTACTGTGACATTGGGACTTGTAAGAAATATGATGTGATAGCAGAGCACAACTCAGATGAAAATGTCCCTTGCCATTTCTCAATAAAATATTGGATAGTTGGTTCTCAGTTATAAAGTACCTAAAGTATGCTTTCTTTCAAGGATGTGCTTGAATTAGAGTACTTGGTTTTAAAAACTAGTACAGATGAAGCTAAGGAGTAGTAAAATATATGCAGTTTATTCATACATGTATTTTAAACCTTCTTTAGTTTCACTTTGACAAAGCAAAGTATTTTAGTATTCTTTGTTGTATAGTCTGCATTCCTAGATTTGTACTTGATCAATGGTAAGGCTAGATCAGCCTGGTTTCTAAAATGACTTAACTGTGTCCAAATCCACTGTATTTTTGCAGACAAATAAAAGCCAAAATGTCCTTTTAGGTGGCATTTGGGTTTTGTAAATCCTGAGTCAGGACCCTAATAGTGAATTTGGCCATAAGGGCTTTGATTCAAATTGGTTGGACAGTCGTTTTGTGAGGAGTTGGTTGAGGTTGTTTATTGTTTTTATTTTTTGAACAGTTGAGAAATACCAATACTATGTACAAATAACTATATATAGTTATATACGGGTCGATATGAAAATAACTTACAAACACAGTGTTACTGTTGATGAACTTCATCTCTCTTAAGAGATTCAGGCAGCCCTTGTTTCTATTCATAGGATATTTCTTCTGCTCTTGGCTCTGACAAGAAAGAGCTGGCCAAAGGGAACTAGCAAATCCTTCCTCAAGCTGCTGTGCTGTAAATGTCATAAAGCAGCAATTCTGGTTTTATTTCAGCAGGATTTTGTGAACCTGTGCCTGACTTTGGAGGCAGACTTTAAGAGTCCTAGAAGTGAACTGCTTTAAAGAGCTATTTTAAAATGGTTTAGGGAATGGGGATCAGCTGGATGGTGTTGTTCAAGTGTGGATGATATAAAACTACACTAATTCACTTCTGAGTTCATGTTATTTTATTTTATTACTCTTGACCACAGCATTAAAAACATTGACTGGACTAGTCAATGCAATCAGGTGTAATACGGGAGTGGAAGACAAGGTTGAGCAGGGTTAGATCTGACTCTAGGGAGACAAGGTTGCTGTTACTGGCTTGCTCTGCACTTTTAAACTTTAACAAGTCATATGAGTCCCATTCCTGAGTTTGGTTTGTCCAAAATGCCATTTGCTAATGTAAAGCTTTCCATCCCAGATGAAAAACACAATTAAATTAACAATGTTGATTTATTTCCAGTCGATTTCCTACACTGCACATAAGCAGAATATAGCTCATCAAAATGCCATCAGAAATTTCTGCTCTGTTGATTGACTTAGTCCAAAAACATATCACTTTGTTCGAGTAAAATCCCAACTGTATTTTGGAGCGTATTTCATATTAGGGGCAGTTAACATAGCACAGAATATTTTTTAAACTACTAGCTGGAAGAAGAAGGAGAAAAAACTCAACTCCCAAGTATTGCATAGAGATGCTAACACCACCCAACTTCCTATTCCCCCATTGTTTCTGCAAAGTAAATACTGAAAAACAGATGTCTGGAACATAATGAATTTGAATGTCCTCCATAACAAATTGTCACTTGTAAGCTAGAAAGGCCTTTATGAATTTTACTTTATGATTCACTCTGTTATTACCATAAAAATTGGGAGTTGCACAGAAATGTGTTCAAGAGAAGAATCATTAATATTCTTTACAGCTTGATCTTGTTGGTTCAGATATGAACTGTATGAATTCAGCCTTTTTCCTGTATGTAAAATCTTCAGCTGCTGCCTTACCGGATTTAGAGATTATTAAAAAATCGTAATAGCAGCTCAGGGAACAGTGGAGAACCGTCTGTCCTGTACTGTCTGACCCTGACCAGCTTTTCTCCACGTGGCTTTAAATCTTCATGTAATATAATTCGGAACCAGTTCTGATACATTTTAATGCACCTAATCTCTCTGAACACAGGTCTTGTACAGCCAGCGTGCAGAGCTCTGGGTAGGCAGCTATTGGGACTGCTGGCAATTGACAGTGACTGCAAAATTAAAATAGATCTTTGGGTGTTACAGAAAGTCTTTCATTGCCGCAGCATTTTCCCTGCAAATTTAAAGCAGCTACAAGTGGAGAGCAGGGCTTTGAGAGGCTCATTCTTATTCTGACTACAGCTTGCACTGCAGCATTTCTGTACACTTCATGTTTTTCTATTAGAAATGGTATATTAAAGAGATCCTCTTTAAATTTTTTTTGAGGCTTAGAGGACCTCTATATAGAAAGTGCAGTCTGCTAGAGAGAGTAATGGTTTACCAGTGTAGTTCCTGGCTGATACTGGCTCTCTGAGTGAGCCACACAAAGTCGCTCCCCAGACCCTTTAATGCCTGGGCTTCTAGCTGAAAAATAGACATATAGATGATCATATTTTATAAATATGCCTGTCTCTTGGGAGAGTTGTAGAATTAATTCAGTTCCTTTGAATTCACTGATGTCCTGTGGAAGAAGGCAGTATCTGCTGTTCTGAACAAATTCCATTGCCAGTGTTGGCTGGACTTTACTGTGCTTTTGATTTTCTCTCTTTTACTTTGGTGGGGGATTCCTAAATCCCATAGCTACATGAAGAAACAGTATGGTTTAACGCAGAAGTCTTCAAAAGTCTTCAGAAGCTTGGTTTGTGATGAACTGAAGTATTGTAGCAGCATTTTAAGTCAATTTTAATGCAATGCATTATTCAAGGAATATTATAGGGTTGGTATTCCACATCTTTTTTGCATCCAGGGGTTCTGTGTAGGAGACTTTAAATTTTTCTCAGTCTTCAAGTATTGATCAGTTAATTTGTTTGTCAAGGTTATAAACAGTGTTAGGTTAAAAAAAAAAAAGGAAAACAAACACACAACTAACTGAATTTCCCTACAGCTCTCTCTCCTTTAGATCAGTTGTGTTATTTTTTTCTCCAAATTTGTTGCTAGCATTTTTAGTGAAATAAGGTTTGAGCTAGGTCATACTAAACTCAGATTTCATGAGAAACTGGAAAAAAACGAGAGCAAGCATAAAAAACCCCAGCACTCAATCCCTTATTCATCTTGATCCATGTACATGATACATTAATGCTTATTATTTATTTAAATGCTTCAAATAGGTTTGGAACCACAAAGGAAGACTGTCTGCCTTGTGAAGTCTGAAATATAAAAGACCGTCCCACTGAGAGCTGTATTTGAAAGCCCAGAAAAAAAGGAAAACAGAGGATTTAAATATATTCAGACCATAAATATGCTGTTTCTTTGGGTAGCATGGAAGGAAATGTCTTGAGGAATTGCAATTAGCATGGTAGTGATGGTTTAGAGAAACAGAGCAGGATGGTATCCTGCTTCATCACTTGGGCTGTTCCCTGTGCAGACGTGTCCTCCCCCCTCCAACCCTCCCCACCGGAGTCCCTCATGGTTTCCACCTTCAGCACTGAAACCAACTCCCAGGTTCTCAGATAACTGGTTTTGTGCAGGCTTCATGCCACCCTGCAAGACGGAGAGATGTTTCCTGTAAACACTGACTCTGTCATTTCACTGTTTTCCTCAAAATCCCTTTTGATTCTCCTTGCCTTTATTCTGTGGTGTTCTCTGCAGTGTCTATACCAGACCTCTACCCATGCAGAGAGGTCCTGTTGTCTCCTGTCACTTTGTGTCTCTCGTCTCTTTGCTATTGTCTATTTCTATACTGTAGGTGCTGCTGGGTAGGGATGATGTGCCATTTTTTGGTGTGTGCATGGTACCTGTTGCAATGGGATTTGTCTCTGTGATTGAGCTTCCTTAAAGTTACCACAGAAGAGTTACCTGAAATGTCACAGTGGTTAGGATGGGGTGGGAAAGCTGCAAAAGGAATGGGTCTGCTGGGAAGTGTACGTAGACTCTTCTGCTGTTGGCAAAGAGGTGAACATGGGATGTAATGGAACATGAGGCTCGTACTCTGTGAGACAGAACTATACTGTGTTTGCAGTCAGTGATGGGAAATTTAGAGATGACACAGTGGGAAGAGGGATACTGGGGTATTTAAAGAGGCAGAGGGTTTGCATGTTTAACAACAGACTTGAGAAGGGATTTGAATGATTTCCTTTACACGTGCATTTTGTAGAAAGGTCAGTGTGATAATGGATGATAATGAAGGATGTTAAGAATAAAGGAATTTTGATCAAAAGACATGCAATTTTTAGGGCTTGGATAATACAGTTTTTAAAATAGGTGAGAAGCAGTGCTATACAGGCTCAGATAAGAGAGACGGGGAACGTGAGATCAAGCATCAAAGGTGATCCTGTAAGTGGATGATTTTCTCTGTGACAAAGTACATGGTAGTGCTGTCTATCGTAATAGGGAGTAAGAGAAAGAGGGATTTGAAACATTAATAATAGTTTTCAATTTCTGGCTTGAAAGCAGGATCCAGCAGATTTTTTTGGGTTTTGATTTTTTTTAATCTGGAGTATATTCAGGGAAAGATACGGAGTCGACAGGAAGTGAATAGCTTGAACTGTTAATTAGGTGGTAACAGATCGTTTGTGCTCATCCCCTGTCTTTTTTCTCCTCCTATTACAGGCCAACAACAAACCAGAGATCGAAGCAGCCCTCTTCCTGGACTGGATGAGGCTGGAACCTCAGTCCATGGTGTGGCTGCCTGTCCTGCACAGGGTGGCTGCTGCCGAGACTGCCAAACACCAGGCGAAGTGTAACATCTGTAAGGAGTGCCCCATTATTGGATTCAGGTACAAACTCGCTCGCTGTCAGCCACATGTTCTACTGCTTGGTGGATCAAGAGCTTTACTTGATTCCAGGGAAATCATGCACTTGATTTTATCCATGTTGTTCGTGGAAAAAATAATTGTGATGGGGGCATAAGGGAGAGTGACACCTAGACAGTGATGTGAGAGCTGAGAAGGACAAAAATCATCTCTCAGTTAAGATATGGCCCTTCCTCTGTGTCCCAATCTTTCCATGCCTCAATCAAAAGCATTGTTGGATTGCACAGCTAATACAATTTGCATTATATTCAGCGTGTCCTATGCATTCAGTTGCATTTTCTGAATTGGATCCTAATGAATTGCTTTCTGTCGTGGTATAAAGCAGGGAAGTGCCTTGAAAATTCTCAGACATGTAAAGCTACATGTGCGTTTCTCAGAGAAAGAATGTTGGTGGTGGAACATTAACCTGGAGTGGGGGAAATGTTGCTGGTCCATTTAAACATCTGGATTGACACCGTGGTTACTATGGCAATGAATAAGTCTCTGTGTTGTAAAATGGCTGTGTGTTGGTATGCCTGTTGAGAATCCACTTAAGGGCTAAGTAAATACGCACTTTCAATTATGCCTGGACTTGTTTTATCACTTTGCTTTGCAATAGCTGCTTTGTACGTTTTCTGTCCTTTTTATGCACACAGTCGTCTTTTAACATTTGTGTTTCTCCTTCTGTGTTATCGTGTTGTTTACAAAAAGCTTTCTGTAATTTTGTTTCTAAAACCCAGACAGATAACAGCAGCAAGCCATGCTACACAGAAAAGCCATCATTTTCCTCTGACCTAGGAGAGTATGAATGTTGCTTTTATGCGTGTAGTGGGGCAGTGCTTTCTGCTATGCAGTTTCACAGGCAGTGGGAAACAGGGGAACTAATGAAGGTATTGCTTTGTTTTGAATCCAGGCTTTTCTGCAGAGAGGCTGTTCCCCTAATCATCTAAATTCTTCTCCCTCTTCTTTTATTCCCTTTGAATATCTTAACTGGGAAATGATAAATATTACCGAGGAAGAGCTATGGATTGGATGTGAGTAATTCAACACATCCACAAAGTCTGATTTTCTTGCTCCCAGATTTGGTTTATGAGCTACTGTATTACTGACACAGTTCTGTATAAACCAGCCAAAGACAAGTAGGTGAAATTGAAAAATGCAGCTCTTGGAAAAATCAAAGAATGGCAAGTGAATGGATAGTCTGTTGTAGGCATCGGGAACTCGGGAGGCGGACACTGGAGCTCTGTGTTTGCGTCTCATTTTACTTGACTGATCTCATCTGTCTCTTAAATTTATATAACAAATCTATTATCGTGATAGTAGAATCTGTCTGTTACAGATTTTTTTCTCTTGTCTCTGCAAGTCATTGAAAACCTTGTGTACACACTTGACAAAAAGATACTGTATCGGGAGGCTTTTAGAAAGCTAATACTGTGCTCAGTACATGTAAAACAATGTTCTTTTGAGGTCGTTGTGGCTGAACTGCTTCGTGTATTTGGAACAAGACAATCCTTATGCCTCCGGCTCTTTCAAGCACTTCAGCACAGCAGATACAACAGTTAGCTGCCTCATAGAGCTGATGAGATTAAGTAATGGCCCAAAAGTGCATTTGGAGTTTTGCATGGATGGAATGCTCTGCAGGAAAATTGTTTTTATAGAGGTGCTAGGAAGGACACAAGGGGGTTGCTGGAGTGACTTGCTTGAGAGGGCATTACTTTCTGGAATTTTCCTCCGTGAGGACATTCTGTGCTAGGAATCATGATGAAGAGCAAAAGATCTGAAGCTAGTGTTATAAAAGGTGTGGTGTCACTTGTATGTTAAAGGAGAGTGATTTTTTAGAAATCTTCACTGTTGCCCAATGTTAGAAATTTTTTTGAAGATTCAGACCTTTGACAAACATCTGAGGCAGCAGTACCTGTCCCTCTGGGGCAGAGGAGCATTCCTGGGCATTGCACACCGTGTGATATCTCAGGGAGGAGAACTTACACAGAAAACTTGACAGGCTGATACGAAGCAGTCACATACAAAGCTCTGAAGCTGTGAAATTTTTTTTATCCCCTTTCAGGTACAGAAGTTTAAAGCACTTTAACTATGACATCTGCCAAAGTTGCTTCTTCTCTGGCCGTGTTGCAAAAGGTCACAAAATGCACTATCCCATGGTGGAATACTGCACACCAGTAAGTAGCTGTTTTACTGACCCTTACTATCCCTTCTTATGTAGAAAGGAAAAACTTCATTTCCTATGCACAAGGTAATGGAGCATTTTGGTGGCTTTTTTTGCTTCTCACATATTTAAATCACCTTTTTTATACTGTACATGCCAGCAATTTCTGATGCTTAGTAAAGGATATGCCAGTGGTTTGAAGAAAATTGAAGTTCACTGTACAGTTCTTTGTCGTAATGTATTCTTGTTCCATGTTTAGTGCTGTAGTGGATGGATCTGGCTGGAAGCCCATGATTTGTGCAAATGCTCATTCATATCTTAGGTCCCAGTGTTTTCTTCATATCAGTGTGTGATTTTCCTTCCTCTCCTCAGCTGCTTCACTTTCTCTCCCACAGAACACCATGGTTCCATTTTTAAGTCATTTACTATGTAGTAGTACCTTTGTATTGTATGATCTCTTGATGGTATAAAATAGCAGGGAATTTCTCAAGGTAGCAAGCTGGATTTAGTTTCTGAGGGGCAGAAGTTTAACGCAGCACAGTGCAGGTGTGCTGCAGTGATGGTGAGCTGAGGGTCTTCACCCTTCTTGCACAGCTCTCAAAAGGATCATTTTTGCATAAACGTTTCTTTCATACCAGACAACTGGCAAAGGAAATTCTGTATTCACCTCTCAGTGTGCTCCTTTTTCTTTCTGGCCACTCATGACCAGCGTGGAGGGGCATAAATTAGAGGTGCTCTCCAGTTATTGTTTCACCATGTAGCACGACTGAGCTTTCAGCTGCCTTTGCTATTGTTCATGGTGGTCTTGAAGCAATGCACTCTCTGATTGGCATTTCCTGATGAGATAGGACAATTCCTAGCCATGTACTTTCATCTGCTGGTCAAATATAAATGGTGAAAATAAAGCATCGAAATTATACATGGGCTAGCCTTATAAAGTTATATGAATGGTCTTTACATCTTCATCCAAGCAAAAAGGAACGGCCAAAATGAAGACTCTCAGCTTTTCTTAGAGACAGAAAAGACAGGACAAAAAATATTTCCTAAAATACAAATCAAGCCATTATTTTTGTTAGTTTTAATTTATGGATAGTTATTTACATTATCAACTTCTACTGTAGCATTTCAGTGGCAGTATTTCACCTGAATCTCTGCAAGGGCACTAAAGCACAATTGCTGGTGCTTTGTCAGTATTCCCTGGCTGTGCTTTTCAGTGTCGTACCCCAGGGACTGAGGTTACTGGAAAGGGCGATTTGCCTGAACTGCTGCCCAAGTCAGAGGGAATTGCTGGCGCTGCCTGGGCAGGTCTGAACAGACTTCTCCATTGCAGGAATTCCTAGAGCAGAATCTCATGATCTGAGTTGTAGGCAGAGTGAGGGAACGACTGACTGCCTTGGAGCGTTCCTTCCACCTCCTTGCTGAACTGACTGCGGGTTTGCTCTGCACTTTACCCCTCTTATTTTTGCTAGTAAGAAATACGGGAGATTTGTGAATGGTGCACAGAGTGCACAAAACTATCTTCCACCTGTTTTCTTAGCCTGTTGATATGTTTTGAGGAAAGAGAAGTGAAAAAGAATTGTGAGACACACCCCCAGCCTGCAGCAACTCATTGCAACACCGTGTCCAGCAGGTTTGCCTTCTCCCTAAAAGTACAGATTACTAATAGGAGAAAACGGTGGTGAACAGAAAACCTGCCATGACATCCAGTTTGTTGGATGAGAATAAAGAACCATTCACAGCCAGTACATTTTTTTGTGAATCCTGAACTCCAGCAGCCCGTGCTAATGTGCTGTGCCTGGCTGCACCAGCAGCGAGTTGAGTTAGAGAAGGATTAACTTGGGAGTGGGGGAGGGAAGTGAATATGACACACAGCAAGCCCCATTCTTTTTTATGTTGCTGCTGTTAAAAAATATTAACCCAAATACTGGGGGATTGAATAAAGCATCTACTGAAACTATCGTGTCCAGATTGTAATTGTTTCCTAAATAAATGAAAAAGGTTTTGCATATGCCAGAGCATTTTTTCCTCTTCCTCTGGACTAATCTCTCACCTTAAAATGCATTTTGGCAGACATAAGATATGTGATGCCTTTTTTGATAATATCTTTGCAATAGTTAGATGAGCACAGTCAAGTGTTTTGGTATTTTTATTCTCCCTCCTCTTACTTTCAGAAATTTTCAAGCACTGCAGTCTTTAATTCTGCTTTGATTTGAGAACTCATGTTAAATATCTGATGGAGGTGATAACTTTTCCTCTCCCACAAAAGGTTGAGGCAGAATAAGGGCAAGGCAGTTGACTAATTTTCATTTAGACAGAAAAATTGCAACAATTATTCCTGAAAGCAACACAGCTCGATTTATTGTTCAAAGAGATGTGACTTTTAAAGAGGTTTCAAATAAAGCATAGAAGACAACTTATAGACTGAGATGGAAATGTAGGATCATTTTTCTGTTTGGGTTTAATGAACAGTGACACACAAGCATAAAAACACCTTGTTAGAAGGAAGCATGTCAAACTGATATACCTGTCTACAGCTAATACAGCTGAGATCTCGGGTGGGGTTTGTCGAGGCACTTCTTAAACCAAACTGGGAAAAGTCAGATGGTAGTAAAGTTATTCCTATATGAATAAAAAGAACTATTTCTTAGGAAATAGTCTTGGTTTCAGACTAGTTTTGGAACATATTCGACCCAACTGCCTATATGTTGCTTTGATTTAAGACAGCTGGGATGTTGAAACCCCACTGTTTCTTCTTCATAAACCAGTTCTGCTGAGAATTTTTGTTTGGGTGATTTTACTCTGCAAATCATATGTAATAAAACATCTATGCAGTAAATCAGAAAGTTTGGCTGAAAATAGCCTCAGTTTATCATCTTGTCCACATAATAATGATCACATTTTCTTTGCCTTTCTTGTGCTCCTCGAACATTTTTTAAATGACAGTTGGATCTTATGATTGGTACCTGATGCTTGTAGTTGTCACTAGAAGATGTATTTTCTTCTTGGGATTCTTGTGGTACCAGATAGATCAGGATGTTTCTGTGCAAACACGATGTCTTACTGTGTGGTTGTCATGCACAAGGTTTATGGGAGTGAGGGGGGAATAACAGTCCCAGGAAGGTTGAAGCAAGGAATATTTTATTGTTAGTCATAGCTGAAAACACTTAATTGAAATTACAGTCAAATCAATAAAAAGTGTTCACAACATTGAAAATAGGCAAGGCGGGAATAAATGGTTATAAATGCCACAGGTGAACAAACTGGACAGAAAGCTGTACTTAATCCATTTATACCAAGACTAAATATTAAAAGTCTGTCCCTGTTTCCAGCTGATGTGCTCTGTGTGCTCTCCTGATGACAACCTGGTTAGGAGCTGTCCTGACAGGCACTGCAGATGGAATTCAGCAGAGGGAATTCCCTCCTGCTGGGGAATAGGGGGTGCAGAGCATCACCTCAGTGAATCTCCTTTCCAGAGTCCTCTGGGTGGTCTGGCCACGCTTAATCCCTCCCTTGCCCAAATGTCTTTAATTTTGATGTATTAAGGAAGTGACACTTAAAATTATGAAACATTATCTCAGTTTCTTGAAAATACAGATGCTGCTGTACTGGCTTGTAGGTTCTTTTGTGTCACTTCTCTACTAATTATTGCTTACACTGAATTTTGCTACCAGATGGACTGACCAGAAAGGGAGTCAAATGCTTTCCAGCTTTACATGAAGCTTGTAGGTGTCATAAGTACAGGGATAATATTTGTCTTTTCTGTTAATGCTTTTCAGTCTTTCTTCAGATTATTTTTCAGGGCATCCTTAATTTTTCTACCTGGGCAGTTGTTAAAAAATCTATGTGTCTATGTTTGAGCAGCTCTGTCAAGGTTGGCTTGACTGATAGGTTTCAGCACCTCCTTCCTCTCTAAGTAAAAGGCATAGAACTCATTAAAAATGTCAGAAAGATTAACTTTTCCCTCATTTCTTTCCTTTAAAGTAGATACACTGGAGAGGCAATGTTGTTATGTGGGTCAGGAAGAACTTAATTTACTGTAAAAGAGAGGTTTTTCAGGGTCTAGTTTCTGCAAGGTGGAGAGAAGGGAGTGCAGCCTGACTAAGGTAATTGAAGTCTTACATTAAAATTCATCAGAAAATTGCCCGACTCTTCATCAGGCTCTCAATAAGTCTTGCGTCTTCCCAGCAGACATCCTTTGAACTGCTTCTGGCTCATTCTGGTCTTTAGGAAACTAATTCCACTTTGTGCTCCTCTGCTGGTCTCTACAGCAGCAAGGAAAGCTGCTGCAGGCAAGGGAGTAGAAAACTTCATGCAAAATGTGTCCTCCTTGGGGTACTGATCTCAAATGCCTGATAGCTTCAGATGGAACAGGTGCAAGAAGAAACAACTGATCCAAGAGCTTTCAGCAGCTCTCACCTGCTTTTTGTTTCTCTTTGATCAAAATACTAATAGCAGAGGAGGCTGAGAAGGGAAACTAGAAAGAAAACGTACCAAGAGACTTTTGTGGACTGACAAGTCTATGAAATGTGTTAAGAGCTGGGATCCAGCCAGTGAAGCACCAGACTGGACACACGGACTGGCTGTGTGTCCTCCCCTACAGCCATTTTAGTGCTGAGCAGAAAGCAGGCAGAGTCCCTGAAGACAGGTGAGGAAATGACAAATTCTTGTTTAATTACTGTCTTGAAATCACTTGAGGTGGGGCATGAGCCAGTCAGGGGGTGTTGGAGCTTCTTCCTTTTTTGTCCTTCCCCCTCACTAGCAGTGTAGCTGTGTAAGGTGACAGTGATAGACAGAATTCACAATTCTTGGGGCTCAAGCCATTGGTGGCGCTGCTTGGTGTGACAACAGCTCTTCCAAGTGACCCAGCAAAGGAAGAGGCGACTGAAAAACAGTGATAACCTCATGAAAGGTGATTTCATTGTGATTTGTGGCTTTCAGACAACTTCAGGAGAAGACGTCCGTGACTTTGCCAAGGTACTAAAAAACAAATTTCGAACAAAAAGATATTTTGCAAAGCACCCACGAATGGGCTACCTGCCTGTGCAAACTGTCTTGGAGGGAGACAACATGGAAACGTGAGTAGCTCTGAAGTATCTAAACAGCAATTCATTTGGTATTTATATACACTATTTGAGCTCCCCAGCTGGTGCCAACTCCTTTCACTTCCTAAATGCATAAAGCCTCTTTATGTCTTTCATTTCTGTTTACCTTGGCTGGCAGGAAAACACAAGCTGGGCTTCCAGTTGCCATTGCCTTTATCTGCTTTCACCTGTCCTTATACAAGAACTTCAGCTTCACTTAGTAAAAGAAAAATACTCACGATCTTACTGACACTCTTATGAACGTCTAAGTTTGATACTCAATTTGGAGACTAATGATATCTTCATTAAATTTTTATTTGCTTCTAAATGGGTGTCTTTCCTTGGTTTTCTTTTTTTAATTAGGCTACTGTGTCTGCAAGCTTCCCAGATTATTTCTTCTTTTTTCAGCCTATAAATTTAGTCTTATTAAATGGCTTTGAAGTCTTTTATGGGAAAAAAAAGCAATAATGATGCACATGGAGAAATCAATGAGTTAACCCAGTTCCCTTTGGTTTTTTTAAAAGTTTATTCAGTTGTTTAATGGCAATTGCACACAGCTTGTTCTCGTTCTCGTTTTCTTTCTCTTTTTAAATTTTAAATTTCAAATTTTTTCCCTCACTTTTTGGTTGGTTGCTCTTCACAGCCATTCATGTTGGTCTGTTGGATTTCTGCTTTTTAGTTGTTGTGATTCTTTTTTTTTTTTTAACCTTTCTGTAGTTATTTTGCTGCTGAGTTTCTTCTGCCTCTCTCTTCACCACCTCATTTTTTGTCTTGCAGTCCTGTTACTCTGATCAACTTCTGGCCAGTAGATTCTGCGTGAGTACTTTTGCTGAAGTGTGCTGCTGCTGCTACTGCTGCTGCGCTCCCTCACTTTTTTTTTTGTTTCTTTATTTAGTTTTACATATGATCATTTTCTTTCTTTCTTTATGACTGTTTCCTTTGATGCACTCTGAAGGAATGTTTTGATCCCGAAAGAGTACAATGGGATGAATCCTGGAATTTCCAGCAGTCATGGATTGTGTACTGTGTACTCTCTGGAGTGTGTATTTTCATCGAATTAACAGGGATTTTGTGCAGACCTACTAATGCTTATGAAAGTTTGTCTTTTAAAAGCCTGTGTTTCTGAACAAGTGTTGATCCCTCTGAATGTATACCGAATGCTTTTTGAAATACAGAGTTTGAACTTGATGGATTTAATTCAGTTTCAGGAATGACATCGTTTTGTAGATAAAGCTGTAATTTGGTTTTATGTGCAAGTGCGCACACTCGCACACTCAAGTGCCCCCAGTTAATCCGAAGCTCACTGGGTATTTTATTAGTCTTTTAGATACAATCAGATTTGTGAAGGCAGGTTGAAATGGGGAAATGTTCTCTGTATTTTTTCATAAGTAAAAAAAGCAGGGGTTTTCAGCTATGAAATAGATTTTCATTCTTGCACCACTCCTGCACGTGCATTGTCTTACCGTTGTAGTAATAGCCTCAGCATAAACTAAAGATATATATACCTGCCGTTGTGGCATTTGCTACTTCTAGTGTTACATGGTTGATTCTAGAATAATGTTAATTAAGCATTAATTTTAATTTACATATTGATAACTAATGAGAAACTAATAAATAGAATTTTTATATTTCTATATGGTGAAATGTATATGGCTTGCACCTCCATTGAATTTTTTGTAGAATAAACAAGACTGAAATGTATACATTGGAATACTCATTTATAATTTGCCTTTGGAGCACAATCCACTGGGAGGTTGAGAAGTACTCTACCTCTAGGAAATTTAAGCAACAAAGAAGAACATCCAGTACAGCAAACCTTATATAGCTGAGGATTCACCCACAGAAAAGGCCAAAAGGCTGGAGCCAGACTGAAATAGATTGGCTTTGAGCTTCAGTATGCACTTTAGCTTTAAATGCAACTGGGGATCTGTATTTCTTAACCTTTAAAACAATTGCAAAGTTAAAAGTAACATTTAGAGAAAGCTTGGATCATATGGAAATAACACTGCTATGTCTGACATAACATGAAACTAAACTGTCATAACATGTTTAATTCTAGCTACTTACAGTGATAACCTCATGGTATGACTACACCAGTGACTTCACATCACAGGTTTGGTGGTGTGCACTACAGGGAGTTTAACTCCTCTGTGATACCTAAGAAAACTTGAGAGAAGTGCTGAAAAGCAGGATTTGTATAGAGGTTGCACCTTTTGTCGGACCAACTCAGATATCTTCCAGAGCACAGTCCTTTCGTCTGGTGTGACAAGAAAGCAGAAAAATAAGAGACAAATAGTGGCTGGAAAGAATTGCTCTTTATTTTGTTCTGCTAACTTTGTTCCTTTCCTTTGTGCCATAGCACTTGGCTTACAGCTCAAGTTACTAAGCTACCCAAGTTTAAAGCTGTTTCTTGGTTACAGGGCTGTCTCCAGCTTCAGCAATCAAACCAGTTATCATAAAACTTTCCTCTGATTTCTACACTTGTGCCTTTTTCTGGTGCTCTCGTGCCAGCTTTGTGGTTATCTTTGAAGCACTTCAGAACAGCACCACCTGGCAGCAGTCAGCAATGCTAGTGCTATGCTATCCTGACATCAACATGTAGTATATATGGAACTGTTTATAAATAGATAGTTTGGGGTTTTTGTTGGAATTTAGTGGTTCTGACTGCTTATTATCCAGTATTTTGTACAGATGCTCTGCTTTCCAGGCATTTCCAGACAGCTCACAAGTTGTGAGAATTTGGGTCTTTTTACTCAAAGAGTGATTGTCAGTGGTATAAATACATTTTACTTGATTCTGCACTTTCAAGAAGCAGTAATTAAAATGCTGATCAGCAAAGAAAAGTGCCCTCATCCTGCCAGCCAGATCTCCGGGGGTGCAGGGGATTGCAGGAGGTGGTATTTGCTACTTGGTCACCACTTGACTTGACTAGAATTCCCACACTGTTCCTGCAGAGCCCAGCTTGAGCAATGCAGCTGTGGAGCCCTTGTAAAAGGGATGGTTATCTTGGCTAAATATTGGCTGTGTCACTCAACCTTCTTGCTGACTGTTGGAGCTGATTAGGTGTGCTGGGTGTGTGTGCTCAGAGAGGAAGGACTCTGAGCTCTAGTGCAGGTGGTCACTAAGAGCATGTACAGTTCAGCACAGTTGTTCTCAAGCTTGCTCAGATACTGGCAAAACTTTACCTCTGAGCAGCTGAATTCAACACAAAGCAGTGCTTCTCTAATAGGTTTGCTTTCTTGAGCAAACTTTTAAGAAGCTGTTTGAGGTAGATCTCCATTGCGGTATGTTTTGAAGTGGAGAGAAATCTGGAAATGTAGCCTCACCCCCTGCCTGCAGCTGGCAGAGAGAATAAGCTTCAACAAGTTACACAACACTGGGTTGTCTTTAAAAAAAAAATTTAAAAAAAAAATATATATCATAACTTGGTCACTTCTGAAGTTGAAGCGTAGTTTCAAGGCAGCAACAATGTGTTCATACAGTCAAACCTGTCTTTTTGTCTTGCACTACTGCCAAAAGAGACATCTCTTCATTGTCCAGTAGGTCCCAAACAAGTGCTGTCCATTCCTTCACAATGCTACAAATACATGTGCAATACCAGTGTGAGAGGGACTAAGAGGATGATCCAACTCAAAACTATAACTACTTTTAAGACAGATTTCCTAGTCTATGCACAGTGTTAGCAGCAACATTTGTATATATGTTGAAAATAAAACCTTTCATTGATGGTACCAATTTAGACCAGCTTAATATCTGCCATATGACAAACAAAAAATTTAAAATACATCAATTTATGAGAAAATCACTGTTATCTTGCTCCATAATCCACTGCTCTAAAGAAATTGCATCCTTTCTCCCTCCCTTCCCTTCAGTGTACATGTTCCTACACAAAATAGGATATCCAGCTGCAGAGAAGCCATTGGCAAATCTCTGCTGCACTGAGGAACTCTGTGAACTGAGTATTTATCCTCTGGTGTGCTGCAGTAATGTTTGAACATGTGGTGGCTAAAAGCACAGTTGGAGGCCAAAGCACATTTCAGGCAAAATGAGATTTGTGATACTTGGCCTGTGATGTCTTGAAGAGGAAAAGCTTTGCTGTCCTGTGAGAAGAGACATTAATGATGGTGAATTTTGTGTATCCAGCATACGGCTCTATGAATTCAGGAACCTAAACTAGAGCGCTTCTCAGGCCGATTAGAAACCTGGAGCTGACCAGTCTAGATTTATGGCAAACTCCTAACATGGGAGCATTACAAAACAGAAGATTATTACAGTTTTGGTTTATAACCAGCAACTACAAAACTCACCTGCTTATGCAATGCAGTTGCCACTGTTGGGCAGCCCCAGCCTGAATCACAGTTTCCAACAGTTTAAAGTGGTGTGAAACTCCTTCCTCAGTCTGGAGTTCCAGAAGGACAGTCAGCAGAGATGGAATAAAGAGCAGTTGAAATTTAGCTAAAATATGAAAATTGCCATACAGTTTGTGAAACTGCATCATTTTTTGTTATTTCAGCACATCCTGATAAGTGTAAATGGGCAAAATCCCACATGGGAGCAAAGAGTGCTCTCTGAACTGCATAGGCAACATAATTTAATGTTGACGTTTTCCAGAGTTGAGGCTGTAAGAATCAATGCTCTAATTGATGAGAAAAGTCCCATGAGTTGTTTTTGTGCACAAAAAAAGTGAAGAGGACCTCATACCATCAGATTTGTCAGGCAGAAAACCCAAAATAATTGACAGTGTTCCTCTGTATCTACAGTTGATAGATCAGTGATAACACACTGATCTACAGTTCAGATGGCAACTGGAAAGACACTAGGCAAAATCATCAGTGCCTGCAGTGTGTTATTAAAGACTCATTTCAGACATTGTGTGTTTGTTGTATTTACCTCTAGCTTCTCGTGGAGTAATCTTTAAAGGCTCTTTTAAGTGTGATGTGCTGGAAGCAGGCATTGGAGCAGGGTGGGAGGTAGAGGAGAGGTTCCCAGCAAGACTCTGGCAGCCAGTGCAGGGCTGCATGTGAAGCAGAACTGCCAATGAAGGCAGCAGCTTGTGAAGGGTAAAGCAGGGCAAAAGCTCTTCTATAAATCCCTTGGAAAAGGCTTCTGCAGGAGTTGGTGTGAAGAAGAGTCGTGACAGCAGACGGATTGCAAAATGGTGAAAATCCCTGGTGTGGTACCACAGAACATTGCACCGATGGCTTGAGGAGGCACACGCAGTGCCTGGAGTTAAAAACTTGCTGTTTGTCAAACGTAGCATAAGGCATAGAGATGTGAGGGTATAGGCATGGCTAAGTGTCTTTTTACTTTTAAAGGGGTATTGTTTGTGATTAATCAGTGTTTTCTGCCTTATAGGCCTGCCTCGTCCCCTCAGCTCTCACACGATGATACTCATTCACGCATTGAACATTATGCTAGCAGGTATGAGACCAGCTGGATGTTAGGCAGATCTTTCTATAAAAAATAATTAAAAGAAAAAAAAAACCCAAGGGCTAGCAGCTACCTGAGCACTTCTTAAAGAAACCCAGAATTTGGGGTTTTGCTTTCCAGACTCTGGGATGCAGAGCATTGTCTTTGGTTGCTACTAACCAGCCTGTCCTAACCTGCATGCCAGAGCACTTGTGTGGTCAGAAGTGGCCTTTAGGTTCTGTGGGTTCATCATTAAGATGGGCACTCAGTTACTGACTTTTTAATAGGAACTGTAGTGAGAGGACAAAGGGTAATGTTTTAAACTGAAAGAGGGTAGATTCAGACTGGATACAAGGAAGAAACTTTTACAGTGAGGATAGTGAGGCACTGGAGCAGGTTCCCCAGAGAGGTGGTGGATGCCCCACCCCTGGAAACATTCAGGGTGAGATTGGATGGGGCTCTGAGCCCTCTGGTCTAGTTGAAGATGTCCCTGCTCATTGCAGGGGGGTTGGACTAGATGACCTTTAAAAGTCCCTTCCAACCCAAACCGTTCTATGATTCTGCGTAGGGTTTTGTTTCTAATAAGGACCCTGGTGTAATTGAACAAATGAGAATAGCAAAAACCTCCAAAGTCTTATATGAATCTCAAGTGTCGTTATAACATTAAGTAATTCATCTCATGAAATACCACAAACAGGATTTTTCCTTGATTTGGAGGATTAAAGTGGTGTTATATCGCTGCTTTAGTTCACTTCTCTGCTTTCATACTGCTCTTAAGAATCAAAAAGTGGGTCAATTGTGCAAATACGAAAGCGTTTTTCCAGCAAGCAAGTAAATTTGCAAGGATTGAGGTAATGAAAAATGGTTATTCCAGCCTCCTCTTTCTCTCCCCCGATATCACTTAATCAGGAGAGGTGTTTCTGAATTATCCAGGACGATTAGGAGGGGCTGAGTGTGAAAACCAATGAGAAATGACTGATCATTAGTTCTGATGATGATATTGCCAGGTACAAAGCAATTTGTGTAATCCCCTGGCATCTTAAGGGTTTTCTTTGATTGTGGAATTAATTAATCAAGAGGAGTGGAATATAAACTTAGATGTGAGTTTAGCCAGGTCACTGTAACAAACAAACAATCCTTTGCGATAGCTTATTGCAAAACTTTTTGGTAATCAACAGTGAGTGTAAATTAATTTGAGTTTCAAATTCATCAAAAACATCACGCTCTTTAATTCTTTCCAGAATGTTAGAGCAGATGAAGTTTCTGGAAAACATAATTGGTTTTAATCAGTCTTGTTTATTTTTCCACAGGCTAGCAGAAATGGAGAACACCAATGGTTCTTATCTAAATGACAGTATTTCACCCAATGAGAGCATGTAAGTAGGCTGTTTTACTGTTTCTGACATGTATTTTCGTGGGAAGGTTATTAACTTGTAATGAAATTTTGTAGTGCTGAATTTGCATGGCCAGGTACCACATTATTGAACCATCTGGTTCAATTTAATGATGAACTCACGTCCCTTCAATTTGTATCATAGGGCCTAGATTTATGGCTTATAGCTTAATACCAAATTTATACAACAAATGATTGATACCTTCAAAATTAAAATGACTAATTTCTTTCAAGAAATTATAGATTTATTCAGCAAATAGTTTCCATATTACTAGGAAAATATACTTGTCATCTGATGTTTTCTAAGGACAAAGACAAAAGGAAAACTCTTCTATCTGTACTACAAGGTTAGTCATGGTTAAATTGCTGTAAGCTAGAAAATGTTGGTGTGGGCAAAGTGTCATTCCAAACATTACTGAAGCTAAACAGAAATCTTTGGTCTACAAATACTTGAAATGCACTGCAAGTGTAAGCCAGGAGGGACTCGTCCTCACCATGAAATATTAGAAGTAGTAAACTTTACAGTTGGACAGATCTCTGACAAGCATTCATTGTACTAGTTCAAATGAAAAGTCATAAGTAGAAGTTTTAAATTTTTAAAAATTTAATGTCACACTAAGACCTTTTTGTGGTTTTCTGACATGGTATTATATTCCTCCCCTGATGATATTCTTGATCTTGTTTATTCTTGGAATGAAAGGACATAGAACTAGGAAGCTAACTATAATGAATGTTTCTGAAGACAGGATAGAAGCACCAAAGTCATTGACACGTTTGAAAATTCAGACAGAAGCTAAATTTGTAGCATTCCCTTAAAGCACAGTACTCTGGGAAGTTTTCATTCACTTAATCTGAGATTCCAAATCAGCATTTAAAGAGGTTGATTCTGAATCTGTGAGATGTTCTTGGATAGTGATAAAGCTGTTTCATTGTTCAAAATAGTTTCTCTTTTGACTTGGTAGGATTGTTGCCTGCCAGTTTTGAAAGAAAATCCCCTGTACAACCAATACATTGTTCTAATACATTGGTCAAAAAGGGGAAAGTTAAAATGACACCTCAAAACTGGTATATATGTAATGTCAGTATAGCTTCACGCAGTTGATGAAAATTGTTTACAAGTTGTATGTTAATTTTGCATTGTTATGAATAGTAGTAATGCTATAATAGATGGAATTTTGTGTTGTCCACTGAAATATTTCAGTGTCCTTCTCACACAAATCTTGTGTATGCAGTATCTCTTGTATTGCACTTTGGTCTTACTGCTGAGTTCATTCTTTGATTAATTAGAAGTTGTATTAGTATGATTCAGTTAACAAGTTAACCAATGACTAAAGTTTGTTACTCAGTTTGTACTATTAAAATGAGAACAAACCTGTACATTCTGAATTTTGGAATAAATACTATCCAGGTAGATACAAATTGCAGCAAAATTAAAGCTTACCATGAATTTACAACTGTAATACTCTCAGTTTTGTATGTCAGATTATGCTTAAGTATTATTTATTGCCATTCTTACATGGTTTACATTATTGGGCTAATAAGGGCAGGAAGAGTGATAGATGGAGACAAGGAAGGTGGGAAATAAAAACATAGCATATATATATATATACACAATATATATAAAAACCACAAAACATTTCCTTATGTAGTGTCACTGCAATTATGTATAAAAGATATGTGCAGGCTGTGTGAAAATCACAGAAAAAGAGTATGCTTGTAAAGTGACATATTGCAGTAGTTATGCCACTTGTTCACTGTTAATTCAGTTAAGATCCCTAAGAATATTTATAAATGCAAAGCAATGGTTTTAAGGAAATCACAGTTGAAGTGTTTCATGAAAAGTGTAAATTTAGGAACTGGCAAGCATTTCCTTCTGTGAAAAATTAATACTTCTCTTTTATGAACTCATGTTAATGTGCTCTATATTGCTTTGGCACTCCTGCAGTCATAAAATGGCATCATTAACATTTTCAGGAACAAATGGAAACAAGGAAAATTATAATTTTTGAACAATAACAGCTGTTCAAAATGCCTGTTAAATTCTGGTCTAAAAACATAACAGAAAAAAAAACTAGACTGAGTTATTTTGTTAGACAAAATTTCCAACAGCAGTGTCATTTTTAATGTCCCTATCTTGTAGTGTTAAGGGAAACCTTTCATGGTTTCCCACAGTTAATGCTAGTGCTAGTTGCATAGCTTAGGGCCTGGATGCATCTCCTTAGCACCTAAACCACACCTAAAACAATCCATGTAATTCTAGGAAGTGATCAGGGCCTTCAGAACTGGATTTATTTTTCTCTTCCAGAGGTATTTCTGTTTCAAATACCAGACAGCGTCAGGGGCAATAGAAATAAAGAAAAAGATCATACATGTTAACCCAAATATATTTGTATTCTGACAGTGTACATCACTTTTAATTTTAAAAAGAAACCCACCTGAGTGAAAAATAGCATATTTTTTAGATGAGTCCAATACTTTTTTTTGTTTACCTCATTTACAATTTTATAGAGAAAAAAAGATAAATACAGCACACATTTATTACGGAAGGAGGGTTTGTAGGTACAAAAATAAATGCATTGCCTTTGCTTGAATGACCCTTTTATGATACAGATCAAGCAGCAGAGGTTAGCTTTCTTTTTCAAGCAAATTCCTAATTGAAGTTAGGCAGAAGAGGAAAGCTGAAGTTGTCAGCTGTTGCAAACTTGGTTTTAAGTATCTGAGAAGCAGAGGAGGAGAGAGGTGGACTCTGCAGAGAAGGAAAATTGCCAGAGACTAAGTGAAACAAGTCAGCAGATTTTGCTTTAAGGTACATTGCTCTGCTATTGGTTACAAAGAGTTCAGCAAATCTCTTTGTAAGAAATGAAAGACTGGGAGTGAATCATCTCCTCATATTCACTGTGAAGTTAAAAAGAAGGAAGGGAACAGCGTGTTTTATCCTTTCTTTCTTTTCCAGCGATGATGAACACTTGTTAATCCAGCACTACTGCCAAAGTCTGAATCAGGAGTCCCCACTGAGCCAGCCCCGAAGCCCTGCCCAGATCCTGATTTCTCTGGAGAGTGAGGAGAGAGGGGAACTGGAGAGAATCCTCGCAGACCTGGAGGAGGAAAACAGGTGGGTTACACCACCAGATGCTGCATTTAAAGTACAATATCTGTGAAATAATTACACTGGAATTCAGTTTGATAGTATTTGTAGGGATAAAATTAGTTATAAATTTGCATTTTCTCCCAACAAAGAAGTACTTTCAAAGTCAGTAAAAGTTGGGTTCTCCTTTCCATTTGTTTGGTGTTGCTTGTTGCCATTTCTTTAGTCTTTCAATACCAAGTATAATTTGCTTCTAATTGTAAATTTAATTGAAGTTATCTTCATTAATCACCATAAAAACCCCCAAATGGATATTTGAGGCATCACAACACTGCAGTCCTCTTTCTACAGTAGATTTGTAATTGCAACTGCGAACTACCAAAATCAGATTATAAGATAGAAATCATTTAATTCTACAAAAAAACATGGGCTTTTTTGGCTTCTACTATCTTGAGCTTTTATAGTACAGTCTAGAGGCATTTTCTTGCTCTTTTTTTCTTGCTTCTTTAAGAGCTAGGTACTTCTGTTTACACTGAGGGTTTAATGCAGTAATCATTTACCTCAGGCATGTCAAGGAAATAATGCAAGAGTTGGCAGTGTCATAGATCTTCTCTCCATGTATAAGTCTCCTTTGGATGGTACTAATCAATTACAGTGGATCCATCACTTCTTATCAGGAGGATTTGGGAAAATGTGGAGGATCCGTAGGCATCAAGGATGAGGAAAGTGTTCCCCACAGAAGGCTGTAGTAAACAAACCTCTTGCTCACTGAACAGCAGTGAGGTTTTGTTTGAACCAAACCACAAACTTCCTACTGCATAGCACATAAAGCCCAAGTGGAGGAAAATACGCATTTTGACGTATCTGGTAACCAGTAATAAGTTATCTTAGTTTTCTGGAGATGAGTGCTGTTTTTTAAACAGCGTTGTGTAGTGAATCATGGAAGAAGAAAAAACATCATAATGCTTTTCTGTCTGTATACCAAATAAGCTGCCTACCCGAAAGGAGGATGACTTCTAAAGCATCCTAGATTAGAAAGGTAGCATATGAAAACTAGTGTAACATGGAGGTAGATAGCTAAACAGGCTAAAAAGTCCTTTTCAGGGTGCCTTGAATTTTAGCTTTATTTAATATAGCAACTTCTGATGATAAGTAACATGGTAAAAGATCTCTGACAGGAATTACACCTTAAAAATACCTGGTTTGAAGTTTGTCAGTCCTGGATTAAAGAAGAGCTGTAGACTGTAAGTTTGGTAGACTGTTAGTCTGTTTTCTCATTTGTACTACTGGAGGCACAGTTATGGAGGTGATGCCACCACAGGCAACCTCACCTTTATGGATACTTCAGTTCTCAATACAGCAGGAACAAAGAGCTCTGTTTCTGTGGGAGAGTGGAGGTCACACTGCTGTGATTTTCATTGATTATGACAAAATCATTACTTCTGTCTCTGCAAACTGCTATAAATAACTTGTACTTAAAAAGTAAGGTAGCTGCTGAAAAGCAAACAAGTTCTTCTTGTCCTGATAGCTTGTTACAGGCAGATATCTGTGATTTTATGGGTTAAACACTAGTCCCTGTTCAGAAAAATAAGCTATTCAGACAGGGTCAGTCAGGAACCATTCATGTAACTTACTTACATTTAAAAAGACCAGTCTTGTCCCTTTAGATTTCTATTTTCTAGTCATTCTCCTCCTTTGAGTTTGTGCAAACCATTTTTGGTAGTTGCCAAAGGCTTTTGATAATGAAGATTTAGCTCTCTGCTGTATCTTGCACGGTTGTACAGTAAGAGTCAGCACATGCAGTCACTTCTCAGCAGCTCCTGGGAAAGCTGCATCAAGTACCAACAAGAAGCAGTACTGTGGTATTCAGAGCACTTCATTGTCATTTCTCTTTTTCTTTCACTCTCCACACTTTCCTGCTTTTCGAAAAAGCCCTTCTCTGTTTTGCTTCATCTCTTTTGAGCTGCTTATTGAATTCTGACCTCCATTTGGGTTTCAGCTGCAGTTTCTCGTCTCCAAATATTTCCATCTTGACTTGTTACTTAAATGAAAAAGACTCTTTGAAATTGTAATTCTGAGGTTTTTCTTTTGGACAGTTTAAAAGGTTCTGTTGCCTATTTTGAGTTCTTCTGAAATGCATTATCTGACTTATAAACTAACCTAGCTGTGACATGGTTCTGACTGGGGTTTTTATCAGTTCCAAGGACCTTTTGTTAGACATTCATTATTTATCTGCTAGCATTTTAAGACCTTGGTGCTTCTGTAGCTTGTAAGTATGACTTCCTTAAATAATTTATGCCTAAGATTTGACTGCTAAATAATTTACATTTGTTAAAATGTGAGCATTTTAGAGAATATTTTCAGTTGCTGAAAATGTTTCATTTGAGTTTTAGGCCTTCAGGCTTATGCTGAGTTTTGCATCACAGCATGTTGTGATAAGAGCGTTTCTTGTGTATTCAATAGACCAAAGGTAATCTTGTTGTGGAAGGCATTATTATTATATTGCAATATAAAAGAAAAATCTAATTATAAAGCCCTCTCAAGAGGTTAAGTGGTAGAGTAGGTGCTACTGACTAGGATGTACTGCACTAGCATTAAAAAGAAAGCATGTGGTTCTGTAGTGACAGAGACTCAGAACTTTTTGCAAAGAATTAAAATACTTTCCTGCTATTCTAATGACTAAAGTGACTGTTTCCTAATATTTTAGTTGAATCAAGGTCACTGACATACTTCTCTAAGAGAGAGAGTTCTCTTATGTTCTCTTTTCCTCCCAGCTCCTAGCTGTCTTATAACAAGAACTAAGTAAATGAGATCTCCAGTCGGAGCTATTTGCCTTTCCTTTGCTTTCCTGACTTGCACTGGGAACACAGTGGGCTGTGTGCCACTAGAGCAGCACTAACATCCCAGGTCTCAAAGCTGCCCTGTTTCGGTGTAGCTTTGGAGTTCCTTCAAATCTGAAGACTGATGAATGGTCTCCTCAAAGTTCCTTCTGTATAGTTGCCAATAGCAAGAAAGTGATGCATTTCTAAACATGCTGTGGCTCCTTTTGGTATTTGTTTTGGCATTGAAGAAGGGGAACTAGATCTTCTGAGTGGGAAGCATCATGAGTAAACATTGTCATCTTAGAGAGGGACAGTGGTAGGTGGTTCAGTTGCCAGCTTTGTCTGTTTCCTCAGACCACTGATTTTCTGTAGGGAGATGAGAAATAACATGAATTCACAAATTCTCAATTGCCTCTGAGAGGACTACTCAGCAGGTGGGGTCCACTAGGATTTCTGCCACTAGGCAATTAGTGCTGCCAGTGATAGATGTGATTAATAATTCATGAGCGCTTTACTACTCAGCTCTTTACAGTTGCATAAATCAAGGTTACACTGCATGCTTCCTCTGTTATTTTTGTTCATGAATGCCTCAAAGAGTTGCAGGCATTGTAAATGGAATATGTGTGTTGAGTTTTCTTAATATTCTCTTACTGGAGAAGGGATCATTTTCGCAGTGATCAGGAGATGCAGCGGCACTGTGTGTTTGTCACAGCCAGATGTAGAAGTCACCCAGCCTGAGCTATAGTGGAGGGAAACTGAGTTTCCAAGTACTGCCCGTGCTTGCACAGTTGCATTCATTTAGAGAGGATTATGTTTTTATCTCCCCTCTCTCTTATGTCCCATTTCATGCTGAAAGTGTCAGAGGGTGTCTTTCCTCCAGGCACTGAGGGCTGTGGGCAGTGCTTTGGGTGCCTCGCTCACAGCAGCAGTCCTTTTTCACCACACAGCTTAAAACCGTTCAGAGGTGGGAATAAAAGCTAATTGTTCTCCCTTGGGATTTTCTTACATCAGGTTCCAAATTATTTCCTTCTTTTATTAATTTCCAGCTTTTTTCCCCTTTCTTAATACACATCATCACTGCTGTATGTTTAGATCCCAGTTATTACGATATTATTGACTGACTGCACTCTGCATCACTCCTGTGGCTCTGAAGCTATGATGCATCTCAGTTCTCTGGACTGAGCACTGTGCAGCTGGACTGAAAAGGTGCAGCTGGAAAACTCACTGATACAGGTGCACTGGGCAAGCCCACAAGCATTCTTCAAAATGACATTCCTTTGTTGCAGCAATATTACAGCATTTAATTACAGAACTTCCAAATTCAGACATACCTCTGCTTGGATAATGTGCAGTATCCCTTACATTGCTCTTTTTTTTTCTGTAAGCTTTCAGAAAGATTTTTAAACTACTTTTTATCAGACAGGAGGGCATTTTTATCTGAATGACTCCCTGGTCCTTACTTGTATTTCAATACCACAGTTGCTGGAAGGACTTCTCTATATTGATAGAGGCGATAATGGCAGATTTCTTTGTAACAAGGTATCTGATCATGTTGTAAATATGACCAAGTGCATTTATGTAGTTGCCCTTAGGGTGATGTTTTATCTTTTGCTTTACAGCACTTCAAACTTTTGAGACTGCTATTTGTAGACTATTGCCTGTATCATACATCTGGGAAATTCCTCATGGGATAGTGATAGCCACTACCTACAGGCTTTGTGAAAAACAAGCTTAATGATCAATCCTATATAAGCTTTAGTCAGCAATAAGACTGTGTCTGATACTCTTGTCATGTTTATTCCTATTCCCTTTTGTATTTTTACTAATTTTTCACCAGTTTGTTCAGCGAGAAGTATCAGAAGACATTTAGTCATGCAGAAGGCATAATTTATATGACTATATCTATATCCAGTACAGATAGCCCTTCTTTTTTTTTCAAGATAATTTTCATGGACTCATTAAAAAAATACCCTCATTTGAACAAACCCTCTTCATACTGTGGGTTTTAAAGAAGGAAATCTTGAATTTTTGAACAACCTGAAGTTAAGAACTATCATCCCCTTTTTTTAATCTTTTAAAACTTCTGCAGGGAAGGGATTTTGTAGGTCAGACATCCCTTAGGGATGTTGTGGGGGATGCCGCAGTCCCAGGTTAGGACTTGTCCATTATGCAGCTGCTGAAGAGCACGGTGACCTCTGAAGAACAGTCAGTAGCCTGTCTTTGTCCTTGGCATTGCCTTCTCTCCCATGTGAATTGATGCATACTGCTTTAGTTCTTTTCCTGAAGTTCTTTACCTTTAGAAGTGCTTCAGAGCTTAATGAAGTTTACTGGGAGGTTTCTGAGGTGCTATTAAGCTTCCAGACCAAACTGTCAGTGTGTATTGTGGTTTGCAGGCAGAAGTGGCAAAAGGTGCCTGTTCTCACAACCTCAAATAAGAGCGAGTTGGTAAAATTAAAATCTGGGTCACTGCTTGTGATGAGTAAGCAGTTACCAGAGCATTGAGCTGCTTTCCCCCCCTCTGGGAAACAGTAGAGGAACATCACAGCAACAGAATCCCAGTGCAGTTTGTTAAGCCTCCCTTGCTTATGAAGTTTCTGCTACAAGTTACTATTTTTGCGGCTTTGGACTGTGTTATCCCTGACAAGGTTTCCGTTTCTTACCTTCTATGTTCTTCCTGCTTGTTAGATTTTTTTTTGTATGTGTACCACTGTAGATCATATTAATCTATGGAGTGTTTTACTGGAGGAAAAATGGGATCTTTACAGAATAAAAGAAAAAGCTTAGCAGTGCCATAAAGTTACAGTAGACTGCAGCACTCCCGGCAGTACCTTTCAAATGAAGATGGAAATTATAGCCCAAAAAGTTAGTGCAGTTTGATTTAAGTGGCTGGCTCTCTAATTTGTCTCTTTCTCATCTTAAGTTGATAATTTTAGCCCTAGGCTGGAAATGCAGTTGCAGATATGAAGAGAGGAGAGTGATGTGACCTGACTGACGACAGCAGAGTTCTGTGTTTTCTGCTCTGGCTTTTTGTGTGGCTGCCTCTCTGAGCTTTCTCATTTGTAAAACAGATAGGCTGGCCAGGTGGCACCCACTTTGGTTAGTGTTTGTGAATTGCTTTGATCACTCAAAGTCCTCTTCTAGCACTAATTACTCCTCGGGTGTAGTCATGCGTGAAAGTGAATGGGGGCAGTCCGACTTCTGCTCGGAAGGATAAAGCGCAGGAAGCTGAGGGAAGGCTGAGCCCAGGACAGACCGTACCCGGGCTGCTGGAGGGTGTCTGGAGTCCAGCCAGCCTTCTGGTGCTGCAGAGAGAGCCTTTAGGCAATGTTTCATCACAGGTCTGTACAATACCAGATCCATGCGGATCTGCAAGGTGTAAGCCCACGTGTGTGGATTCAGCAGAAGGAAAGGCAGGTGGTGCAGGTGAGCCTCTGCCCCCGGGATTTAATCACATCACACCACGCGAGAGGAGGTGCCTTGTGATCCTCTGCACTGCCTGTTTGGCTTCATAAAGCTTTTGCCTCCTTATCACTTCCCAACAGAAACCTGCAAGCAGAGTATGACCGTCTGAAGCAGCAGCATGACCACAAAGGACTGTCTCCACTGCCGTCCCCGCCGGAGATGATGCCGGTCTCTCCGCAAAGCCCCCGGGATGCTGAGCTCATTGCAGAAGCCAAGCTGCTTCGCCAGCACAAGGGCCGCCTGGAAGCCAGGATGCAGATCCTGGAGGATCACAACAAACAGCTGGAATCACAGCTGCACAGGCTGAGGCAGCTGCTGGAGCAGGTGAGTCCTCAGGCATTTCTTCTAGGTCTCTGTAGACCTTCACGTTCTCCAAATGTGAAGCATTATCAGTAACAACATCCCAAGAAATCATATATGTATGGGCTAGTCAGAGAAAAATATTAAATTGTTGAAAGTGAGAATGTGAAATGGGGTTTCAGTGTTCTTATTTAGTCTTCTTCCTTGTTTTATTCAGAATTCAAATCCATTGGTCTCATGGATATATTTACTTTAAAAAATTGTATGTATTCATGGAATAAATAAAAATTACAGAGATATGAAGTAGTGAGCTGTTAATAACAACCTCTTCTTTTTTTTCAATTTTCAGCCACAGGCAGATGCCAAGGTGAATGGTACAACACTATCATCTCCTTCTACCTCTTTGCAGAGGTCAGGCAGCAGTCAGCCAATGCTTCTTCGTGTAGTTGGCAGCCAGACTTCAGAAACCATGGGTAAGATAACAAAGTTCAGATTGTCATAAAAATAATTATAGTCCCATTTTCCAGGAAAAAAATCCTTAAACACAGAAAATAGGCTTCTGTTTGGTTCAAATGAGAATGAAGTAGACATTTGCAATGGTCTTCGATGTCATCTGGCTATTTACATGTTCATTATGATTCACGCTTTTGCTTTTGATCATGATGCACACAGTAGCTTGGATATTTTGACATTAAACGCAAAGCTTATCCAGGGCTTGACTTCTGAAAACAAATATCACTGAAAAGCTAACTATTTTATTCAAACTGACTTTCTGATATTAAGCATGACTGATTTAAATGTACATAGCATTAATTATGGCTGGGAGACTAAATGTATTATTAGTCATCTCTGTGTTAACTGATGTGATCTTATTTTTAATTTGTTGTGGCTCAATCAGTAGGATTGAACTGTCACTTACAGGCAATGCTCATCTAGTGTCTTTTCTAAATATCACATCAGATGTGATAATGAACATCAAATGAGTTGTGGAGTAAGGTTAAGTAATAACATGCTGTAGCTAGAGGCTGGAATTATTATTTTGGTGATTTTAGTAACTGCTCTGTAGCATTTTCCTGATTTCTTATCTGTTACATAATTAGGAAGTATTTATTACCAAGCAGTAAGGATTTTTTTTGCTAGTAAAAAAAGCAATCAATCGTTGCATCATCTTTAATCAAATGCACTTATATTACTTCAACAAGATAATGTTTCAAGTGTGATGATAATATTCAGTTTCATACACAGAAATTTATTTAATGTATATTAGAGAGAATCTTAAGTGAGAGCTTTGCTTTTAACTGATGTTAGTGAAAGTGTCAATGGCAGTGAGACATTGAATGGGAGGGGACATTCTGCTGTGTCTCAAGAGCTGTTGTGGTGGAAAATGCAGCTTTTTGGGGGATTTTTCTTCTATTCCAAGTGCAAGCAATAATGTCAGCCTGTGCCAGTATCAAACAAGGTGGGTTCTATATGCCCTGCAACGAAAAATGTGAAATAAATTGTACCTTTAGGAGTGCTTAAGTGAAATCCTGGGGGTGAGAGGGCAATCACAGGTAACAGCAATTTCATTTGGACTTTTCGTTAGTCGTATTACCAATGAGGAAACATTTTGCTATGTATGGCATACACAAAGAGACAAAATATATCAGTGGAGTAATTTGCATCATCTTTCTGAAGAAATGTCATGAATTTCATCACATAAAATATGTTAATTAAAATACACAGGAAAAGATAGGAAGGAAGTGGTTCCCAGACATCTTATTAGAAGTCTTATAGTTTGTAGTTTCTTATGTCATCCTATATTAGGACAAAGTACAATAATGTATTTATTTTCATTTGACTCAATATAAAATTGTTCCCATTTAACTTGTAAGACTGGAATTAATTAATTAACATGACAGAGTCCTATAAAGTGCTAAAACTTTTTGAAGCAAATATTTAGACATGACTTAATTTGATTTGATTTGTTCGATGGAGCCAATATGTGGAAGGACAGTGAGATGTTGAGCCATTATCAGTATGATTATATTGAGACTCAGCAAAGCCACACTGTTGGCAATGTGGAGTGGAGCTTGTAAAAAGAATTACTAACCGAGCTAAGAAACCGCAGCTAATTCAGAGCCTTCACACCAGAAGGCTTTGCTTGCTAGTCTGAGAGTTTTCTGAAGCCCAGCTTAAAATACTCTTGAATTTTGCAGGGAAGCAGAGGAGTGATGTAAATAATGCCCCCAATGCAGAAAGCATGTCCCTGAAAATGAGGGACCGTCCTTTCTGAGAAAATACTGAGCATCTCTAGGTCTCTTAGGTTATGAGGTAGTGTAGTGGTAGATTTTATACGTTTTTCTATTCAAAATTAGATGTTAGTTGTTTTTTTTTCTCTGAATGTAGACCCTTTGCACTTCTCCCTCTCCGCTTTCCCAGGAAGAGATGACTGTGAAAGGTTTTCCACCAGCAGTGTTGTCCATTTGGTAGAAGCAGTGACCCACTCAAATCCTAATTTACAAATAGAAGAGCTTATTCCTGAAATACACCTGGGCAAGTGGAAAGGTTTTTCTGCTCTTTTTATAGAATCCTAATGGGAAAGTCCTTGTCTTTGGTCTTTCTCTCCCAGCAATGTTGCAACAGAGGAGGTTTTCTGAGGCCTGTGAAGTTCAGCTGTTGCTGAACTTCATTCAGCTACCACCAGAATATTTGACACTCACCCAGCTCTAAGCCTTTTGTAGGAACACAAATGGGGAAGGCTGTTTTGGGTAAAGAGAGGAGGTTGGGGTCTGAAAGTATCTTTACTTTTGTCAGGTTGCTTGGCTGATGTCTTATTTTGTCATTTACAAGGAAATGCTCAAGAAAGTCATCCAAATGAGGAAAATATAAAAACAATGCATTTTAAAGAAAAGATACAGCATTTTTGAGGGTCAGCACAGTTTGGTTTGTGTCAGCACGTATGAGGACATTTGGAAATCAGTACCTATCCTCAGTTATCCTTGACCAGGACAGCAGAACCACTGCCCTCTTCTGCTCTTGAGGGCCAGGAGGCTTTCTGCAGGCTGATAAAGTCCTCAGCCTGGGTAGAAGCAGCAAGATCTTGCTCTGAGTTTTCACCCTGACATCCAGCAAAGGCTGGAAGGACATTACTTTTGCTAAGACACCTCTGTCAGTGGTGTGAAAGTAACTCATGGTGTGAGTTGATTTGTATGAACCCAGCACCAGCTGAAAGCTGAACAAACTGCAAGCAGTCTCAGCAGCTATTTTTAGACCATTAATGGAATAAAAGAAGCTGATACAAAGACCATCATTTATATGAATTAAATGCTTCTTGCAGACACTCCACCCTACCTCTTGTAGTGGAGTGGGAGAAATCACTCTTGGTCAGTAATAACTCTTGTGAAACTCCTGGCCAAAATATAGGCAGCCCCAAAGTGTTCCTTTAGTATCCCTTTTTCTAGGTTTTCCACTAGCATGGAGAATGTCAGTGTTTAAAGAACATAAATGTTAACAGAAAATCAGAGTTTATTACTTGAGTTGAGTAGGGCAAGACATGTTAGAATAAAGGGTCATTAAGTCATTTTCAAAATTGTGGTTATTACAGCAAGCAAAATTACTTTTGTGTTTTAATAGGGATAAAAGACATCTAGCAAATAGGAGAATCTCATTCAAAGTATATCCTTTAGGTGTATTCTTTTTCCAGATGCTTTATTTGTATTGGAGGCCAGGGCATACAGTAAAAACATGTGGATTTTAGTTATATGAAACCATGAGCAAAAGAATTCCAGTAAAAGTAAAATGTATTGAATTTCCCATTAAGATGCTGCCCTGTAATCAGGTTATAGAAATTATTCAGTGGGAGAAATGTATTTCGCTTTATTAAACTGCTGCTAAACCCTTTTACAGTACAATTGAGTGTTCTTGGAGCGCCAATCTGATGCAATTAAACTGTCAGAAATATTAATACTGATGCAGATGTGAATCTGGGTTTCTACTGATTTGTGCAGCTAGGCAAAGCAGTGCCAACATGAATCCAGTACTATTAGAAAGCTGCTCAACAGCAGCACTCACAACAGCAATTTCTTTTTCCATTAATAGAATAAGAGAAGCTGAAACGACAAGTGTCATCTATGGAGCTAAATGTTCCTAGCAGACATTTTACCCTACTTCTTCTACCAGAGTAGATTATTTCTTAAATCCCTTTTTGCAAATTAAAATCAGCATTAATTATTTCAAATTAATTGTTTAATTTCACTTAGATCCTTATAAAGAAAGAGGCACATAACAGTCACCAAAATTCACCTTTGAAACTTTGATTGTATGCTAAGCAGAAAATGTGTTTATTAAATGGACAGCCTTAGCTTTGTGAAGGACTTATGCAATAGCTAACTGTTAGCAAAGGGTTTTGTCTCAGGCCATGGTGTGGATTTGCTTTGCAGGTGAGGATGAGCTGCTCAGCCCTCCCCAGGACACAAGCACAGGTTTGGAGGAAGTGATGGAGCAGCTGAACAACTCCTTCCCTAGCTCCAGAGGTGAGCGCTGCTGCCCATGGCAGATGAGAGGGAAGAAGATAAAAGTGTTTTCTGTTCCTTGATGTTTTCAGGGGTTTGTCTTTTGGTACCCTTTTTTTTTGCTGCTCTTTGTTTTCATTTTAACAATAGCTGTAGAGAAACCTGTCTTGTGTAGAGTGGAGAAGCAGCCTGCTCCTCCTTTAGCTCAAGCTGCCTCCACAGGTAGCCCTTGCTAGATATGTGGATGAAAAAATGTCTGTATGAGACTTTCTTCTCAAAGCGTTTTCTTTGCTTCCTTTTTGCCATGTTCCTTTTCTCACAGCATTTCCTCTTTTTTTGGTTAGTCCCCTTGCTGATTTATTTTTCATTACATGTCTTAGCACATTTTTCTTCTGTCCTTCCTTATCTTTCTCCAAGAAGAATCTGATGTGAAATAATATTAAAGTTCTACGTCAAAGTTCTCAACCATGTAGCACTTGGGTGCAGAGGGATGGAGTAAAAATGAGTGGGCTGCTTGTTTGTGCAGTATGGGCTGCACTTGTGTGCACAGCCACAACATTTCTTTCACTTGTTTCCATTTTGCTCATTCCTGTTGTTTGCTAAAGATGATCAGTTTGTGTTACTGGGATTTATTTGTTCAGCCTTTTTTCATTTAAGAAAGTCTTTTCTGAGCCCAGAGAAAATACTCTGCTGCCAAGAAAAATGGCTTAGATTCCTAGCAGGAGATGGGAAGTTTGGGGTATTGCCTGTTGCTGTGAAGCAAGGTTCAGACATAAACCTCTTGGCAAGAGAAAGTCCTGGTGTCTATTGGCAGCCTGTTAAGTGGATTTAAATAGGGGCATAGACTTTCCACAGGGCCTTTTGCACAGTTTTCACACAACACTCAGAGGTTCTTCTTCAGTATAGAAATGCATTAACCATTGTACTAGACCTTCAGTGGAGTCGAGTTTTCTCCATCCTTTGGTTTCAAAGCAAGCTCAGCTCTCACCAGACATCATCTGTGAGCAGTGGAAAAGAAGGCAGGAAAAACCATATAAGATCTCATGCTATAAATCAAAAGTTGGAACCATTTAGAAAGATCTCATGAAAGAAAATCTAAACCAATAAATTAACTGTAGTCATCTCAACATTATGTGAAAAAAATCATATGTCTCGATATTAATTATGTCTCATTTTGTTCCGATATTAATTATGAGAGACAACAGGTGAAAAATCTTTCATCAATCTATCTATCATTTATGAAGATAAAAGTGGACTTATTTTTAAAGTTGCTGTGTATGAGGTTGCAACAGACAGTTTTCTTATCAGTGACCATAATTTGTGTAAATATGTTGTATTTAGGAGATCTTGCATAATAGTATGTGTCTAGATGTAGATAGCCCATGTGTTAAAATATTCACCAAATATGAACAATTAGGTTTCTCTGTTCTTCATGTGTCTTTTGATGCATTTGCATGAATGCCAGGTTTATGTTTTTACTTTTGGATGAAGTGTAGGAGTGGTCTGAATAGGCTCTCTGTAAGAGTTCATCCTACAACCAGTGCAGATGGATTTCCATTCACTGGCTGATACAGAAGGCTACTGACATTGTCAATTTTGCTGAGATCTCATGCAAACTTCTGTTACTGGAGTTTTCTTCTGTTCCAGTTTTAACAATTAAATTATAGTCAGCTGATCTCCACATACACAGAGCTCACATCCACAGCTGATCTGCTTCAGCCTCATGTAAACCTTCACTGTGACATGAAGGATGCTGTGGTCAGTCCGATTCCACAGGCATCAGGGACCTGACTTATAATTTACAAGACTGCATTAAGAAGAAAAGGAAGCAGAGTTGATTGGTCTCAACAAACTACTGAACCAGGAACCTTTTTGCTGTTGAGAGGTACAAATCTGTATCTCAGGTTTCTAATCTATAATAAAAGATCAAAGTGTAATTGCGAAAGAGTGAAAGCACTTTGGCAAAGCAGCCTGAGAAGAGGGCTGAGTGTGAGGACTCGGGTGTGGTGCGAGTCACATTTTGTTTCTTGCCATTACAAGCTGGATTGAATCTCAAGGTATAGGTGGAATACCTACCTCAAGTAGGTATTTGGGAAACAGAACAATAAAACCAAACAAGCATTCAGCCTAGATCCATAAGGAATACATTTTCTTATATTGTTTCTTATTAAGTAGAATTAAAAAAAAATTGTCAGATGCAAGTGTTTCTTGTCATGTTAGTCTGACATTCAGAAATGGGTTGTGATATAGGAGATGGTGGAATTGGCAGTGCTGGGGTGGACTCAGTTAACTTAAAAGTCTTTTTCAACCTTAGTGATTCAATGAAATGTGGTTTCTTTGTGTCCTGTAAAACAAGCATGTTAAATTTCAAGCTAAATATCCAGCATGTCACAGCACAGAGAGTGACACACCTTTTGAATCAGGGACATGATTCTGGGTGTCCTATTGCCAGTAGGAGAACAGCAACTTAGAGGGGTGCAGAACAATGTGACAAGAGCAAACTGGACTCTGGAAGTTTTGGTTATGAGAAAAGTTCAAAGCTAAATAAGCAGTGAAGAGAGAAAAGGATCGAATTTCTGTGCTTGGGTGCACAGATGTGTAATTGAGCATCACAGGATATAAATTAACAGCAAAATATTTAGTCTAAATACTGTCAAAAGCACTTGAAGAGTAAGATTTACTCAGGCTGGAAAGCAGTTTACTAAAGCAAGTAGCAGCTCTTATTTTGGACTTCTAAAACAAAGCAGTAAAATGTAGTAGTAATTAACTGTCACTCACCTGGAGATAGATTCTTTATGATGATGATATTTTCCAAGCTTTTGCTGCATAGTGTTGTTTTTAAAAGGGCATCAAGGCCTCATAGCATCATTTTGAATGTATTTTAGAAAAGCACGTGTAAAACAAATTGTGTCATAGACCTGCATAAGCAGACCTCAGATGCAATAGCTTGTGTACTATATACCTTTTATAGGGGTTTTGTTTGTTGTTTCTTCAGTTTAACCTTTTGGCAGTTCTTGGCATTTCCTAAGGAGCACAGGACCTCCATGCTCCTTGCACAGCTGGCTGTTGGTGCCGAAAGCTGTTTCATTTCTGGAGAGAGAAATTCTGCTGAATACCTGATGACTGCTGTCCTTAAGGAATTTTTCTTTCCTTTTAATCTACAAGGTTTCCCATCCATTCCTCTTTCACTTTGCTGCTCCCAGCAAATTCACAACTGCTGCAGCTGCTTCAAACAGCTGCTGTGCTAACTCAAAACAGATGTCAAAGCCAGAGGTCTGACATTTAGTGGAAATCTACCATTAAATACCACCTCAGTGGTTTATTTGACCCTGCTTGATAATGGGCCACAGAGGAAAACATTTTCACGCTGTATTTGTGCCCAAACTACTAAATCTCCAGGGAATTGGTTCACAGTTAGAAAGCAAGATTGACAGGCTAGTATTTTTAAAGCCAAATTCATCTCTCCTGCAGCACTGAGGACAAAAAAGTTGTACCACTTCTGGTGGATCTCATGGTGGACCGGCTGAGGTTTGCAGTTGTGATTCCATGGTGACTGCTTTCTGTGAATGATGTTCAGAGAGGAATTTAGGGGCAGAAGTTCTTGAGCTGGCTGAAGTTGGTGAGAGCACTTCCCAGATTTCAGTGCAGGGCCCTTGCTGGGGAATAATGAAGATGTGGGAGCCAAGAAATGGATAGAAATGAGAGCATGACGGCTTGAAAGAGCTAAAAGGACATGACATAACGTGAAACCATTTGGAGAGAGATCAGTACTCGCTTACTGTTTACCGTGGTATTGGTTAACACAAATGTGGTCTTGTGCAGTGAAATTACAAGACCCCACAGCAATAAATGAATGGCACTGAGAATAGCACCATTTTTTATAAGTTTTATTTTTATCCCAGTCACATTTAAACACACCAGTCACATTTTCTCCTCTCACTTTTGCATCAGCCAGGCTCTGTTATGAGCAGGACTAATGTCCTAAGTAGAATTAGCAACTTTCAGCACTGCAAATAATGCAGTTTCTCTTATTGTGACAGCAAAATGTTACACTTTTCACACCTTACTGAATCAGTGGAAGAGTACCCTGGAGTTTATACTGCAGGGTATTCTGGAAATACTCTTCCAGTTCAGATATCCTGGCCCCTTCTGGATCGTATCACCTTGTCTGTGCTATGGTCCTGCATCCCACAGCAGTGAGCCTGGGTGACTGAGATCCCTCATCACTCCCCTGTGGCACAACACTACTGATCTGGCTACACCTCTAGAGCTGCAGATGAGATGATGAAGGGCATGACTAGGTCTTTGGTGTTTTATAATGCCCAAATGTGTGCCTTTGTCTGTGGTACAATGTCATGTAGCTTTCCAAAAAAGAAGAAGAAAGAAAAACTCTTCTATTTTTTAAGAACAGGAAATCTTGATTTGAGCAGGAATAATAGATGATTAGGCACCCATGGATTACATATCAGTGTTTTGATGCCTTATAGGACACAAATTTTCAGAACTGCAGCAGTATAGACAATCTTCTTCCTCTGCAATTTATGCCAAGCCACATTCTTTGCCTTAAAACTTAGAAACACGCATTCATATGCAAAGAAGGAAACAACGTAAAATCCATTAAACCCTTTTTAATCTCCTCCAGTAGAAATTAGCTGTTACTGTAGTAGCACTACTCTTTTTTGCATCTAACAAATTCTAGGGCTGATTACTCACCACAGACTGTCCTCACCAGCTGTTTTGTGTGGTGCTGAGCTATCCCAGTTACCTTTAAATGCATTCATTTTAAAGCAAAATCCACTCTGTCTCATGTAGCTTTAAATTAAACACTGTGTAGCTGCAGTTGTAGGTGCTTGTCCAGACAGGTAGGCATTTCTTAAGACCTCCAAAAGGATCCAGTATTTTGCATGTGAGCAGTTCCTTCTCTCTTCTTGACCCGAGCTAAACTGTCATCTGCTGGATCTCACTCCTGACCCAGGACTCTTGCACACCAGGCTGTACCAGGCTGCAGTTTCTTGGAGTCCTTAACTAGACCACCTGCTGACCTAAACTCTGGGGCTCTTCCTCAAATGACCAAAGCATGCAATGGATTTCATATCTTCAAGGAGTTACTGTTACATGATTTATATTGGTGAGAGATTCCCTCAAAGAAGGGCATTTTTTTAGGGAATTCATGGCTCCTGATAAAAGTGCCAGAGGAGATGGCATGCTCTGTAGGCACATGTGTAAGTCCTAGAGAGTTAGGCAGGCTTACAGGGTGGAGTCCTTAGTGAAGGGATACATCTAGCCCTGGTGCCTCTGTGCACCACCAGCGTGTTTGATACAGACTTTGCACCAGAGTCCAGGCTCTGCTGAGGAGCAGAATAAAAACCCACATACATGCAGAACATGTTATTGTCAAACCTGTTATTGTCATTTCTAATAGTAATTGTGCTGCTGGGGAGAGGGAGAGGGACAGGAAGGAAGGGAATCAAATTTCCTGTGTTCAATAAATGGTAGCCTTTGCTGTCCAGGCTTTCAGAGGCTGCCCCAGCCCTTTCCATTGCCTGGAGTTTGTGGCTGAGCTGAGGCTGTGGCCCATGGTGGTCAGGGATGCCATTCCCTTCCTCTGCCCTCTCCTCCTCTCCTTTCCTGCCTCTGCCCAGCTCTGTTCTGCTGTTGACCCTTGTTCTGCAACTTGTAAAATACCTGCAAAGCTATTTATTGCCTTCCTTCCCTTCTCCTACAGGCTTCCACACCTAGAGAAAAACTCGATAGCAATTAGGTTACTGTGACCAGCATGTTCTCCCATAGGTATCTGTCGCTCTCCCTGTTTTCTCATACATTGCTTACAATTACATCGTTTGCAGCAGCTCTGGGGCAAAGATCATCCTCTTTCTTGAACAGCATTTACCACAGTGACTTTCTCACCTCAGACTGCAAGTCTGGCCCTGCCAGCGTGGGCAGTGATGTGACAGTGACAGTGGGACACTCCTTCTGGAGACAGCAAGCATCTTATTGTCACTGGCTGTGTGTTGGGAAGGGAGTGTTTGCTGTTGATTGACACCTGGCTTTCTTTGTTTAAAAATAAATATGCTATGAGAAGTGTTTGAGAAGAATCAATGTGATCGAAGTGTGGAGGCTTGTTAGGGACATCTTTTCAGATAAATTATTGACTCCTCCGTTTTGGCAGTTCTTGAACAGAATGAGATACTTTCCCCTTTTTCCCTTTTTACTCAACCTTTTCTTTTCTCTCCTCCCCTCTGCCCCTTCAGTTTTACCATGCTTGCAGATCAGCACGTTGCAAACATATTTTGGAATATATTTATCTTGAATGTGAGCATGTTGTTTTCCAGCATGCAGCTCTAGGTGTAAAAAAAGTGTGTGTGTACACATGTGTGTATTTATTAATGGATACCTCAATGTTTGTAGGCCATAATACAATGTAAAGTGACTGGATAAATTAATTTGACATTGGAAAAAAATATTTTACTGCTTACACTGATTGCCAAGAGTACTCAACTTAAGGAAATTAGGATGCTCAGAAAGTGAATTCAGATCTCTGCAATCCTTATTCTCAACTGAAAGGCCTATAAGTTGGGGCTGGTGGTTTTCGCAAGTGTTTTGAGAGGTTTAAACAAGCCACAGGTGACAGAACTGTTGCTGAATAAATCAGGTCAGAATCATCGTTGGATTTCAGTGCACTTTCAGTCTTTCTTTAAGCAGAAATGTGGTTTTTATTTAATATTAAATATCTAAATGGAAATGGAAGTGTCTCTTACAGTATAAAATATATGTTCATGTGTGGTTTTTTCCCTTACTTTGCTGATATATATTCCACTTCCTCTCTCTGTTCCTAAAGGAAGAAATGCCCCTGGAAAGCCAGTGAGAGAGGTTAGTGAGACGCAGGCTCACTGCCATGGCTTCTGTTTGTCACAGCTTGCTTTCTGTGCCCAGCATGCGTGTGACACAGCACGGGTTTGCTTGGGTTTGGTGAGGGTCGGGGGTGGGTTTTTTTTTGCTTTGGGTTTTGTTTGATTTTGCTGAGTGCATTCCCCATGTGTGCTGTAACAGTAGTGTACCTCTCAACTTTCAGTGGAGACCATGTCAGCTCAGGGATCTGCATTTTTTTGCATCCTCCCAGAGGTGGAAAATCAGGAATGGGGAGGAGAAAATAATACATTGAAATTAAGCCTCTGAATGATAAATGTTGTCAGCAAATATGCTGCAGTCATTGACTTATGTTCTGATGCTCTTGTATGTAAGCACAACAGGGAGACCCATGTCTCTTGCTGTTCTGCTTGCATAATCATAGTTTTATTTACATATATGTACCAGTATACCAACTATCATCTCCAGTTAACAAATAGGGTTTTTTTCTGTTCCTTTAGAACAGTGAGAGTTGAGAGGTATAAGACATTCAGGTGTTTAAATTTCCTGGTGTACTGTTGCAGACTGAAGAATGCTACTAACATTCACCAGCTCCACAGTGTTGTATTGAGCAATGCGAATGGGTGATGGTTTTCACTGTGCACTTTGGTCATGGTTGGTTTGATGCAAAATAGAGTTTGGAATTTGTGTGTCACTGCTCATTAATGGAGGGGAAACGTTTTGCGCCGTGTTGTCACAGCACCTTTGAAAGTATTTCCAGAGCGCCTTGATTTTTCCTCTGTGAAGCTGCTCTTCACTCGCCAACCGGATACAACGTTTGAAAGATTAATTTCTAGTGAAAATTATTATTAAAGACAAAATATTTAGAGACTGTTTGAGTACAGTTGCAGTAGCTGTGAAATGACCTTTTCTGCACAGAAGGTGTTCCGTATGGATGAGGCAGAAATTGAAAGGTAACCCAGTTTCCAAACTTCTGCTGGTGCAGAGGGACGGGCTCATGGAAACACACAGCACTGGGGTTTTAGCAGAGCTGTTGTGACTCCCCCTGTCACTGACAGGCTACCCTGGGAACACCAGGATTTGTCCTGATGTGGTGCCTTGAGGTTCTCTGCATTGGCTGTAGGAGCTGGGACAGGTCCAGCTACTTTGAGGTATAAGATCTTCGGTACAGGTTAAGTCTGTCTTCAAATGGCAGTCCCTCTCATATGGATCAAAAAAGGGTGCTTGGGATGGCATCAACAGACTGCACTAGTCCAGAAATTTTATGTAAATTATTTCCTATTCAGCCCTGCATGTTCTCGGCTCATACACTGAGAATTGTTCTCCAACTCAGCAAAACATCTCATTGATTTCCACTACCCTCATTCATATTTATGCATATTATTCAAAAAAATTTTCTGAGGCAGAGGGCATACTTGATACAATTAATTAAAAGGAAAAAAAAAATTGGCATGTTCTACCTGATCAGATTCCAGCAGCTTAACCCTAAAAATCTGATTTCAGTGAATCACTGGCCACTCTCCAGCTGAGTTTGTGCTCATTCACTGTTCCAGAGGAGCCTTGGCAACTTGCAGAGCTGAATATAAAACTCAGTGGTCCACCTACTTATGAAGTGTGAGCTAAGGTGTAGAACAGCTTTCGTTTTATGTGTGAATCTATTTGTACAAAGGCAGGTCATGTGGTTTTAAATCCACCTGTTTAAATCCAAGTTTTGATCCCATTGCTCACATTAGGTATTCTCTTCATGTGTAATCCCATGGATTTGGTGTAATTGCTCAGTATGAATAAGGGTATCAAAATCCAAACGACCAACAGGAAGGATTTTTCTGTTGTCAGGGAAGGGTTAGAAATCTGTGATGCTGAAAAAGGCCCTGCATTGTGTTGGGGTTTCTTAATTTACTTTCTATCCACTCTTTCCAATCTGAATGCTCCACGTGTATTTCTCTGACAAGCTGTAGGATGAAATTGGTATTCCATTACTTTGCCCACACCCACGGGCCTTAATTCCATTAGAATCTCTAAAGCAAATTCAGCAGATGTGAAACACATCATTCTGTATGTGACCAGAAGTTAATGTCTACAGAAATAAGTCTCCTCTGCTTTCCAAGCAAATGCAGTTGTGTTTTTTATAAGTTGAAGTTAATACTGTCTATGTCCATTCTGAGCTTGGTTGCTGCATTTCAAAGTGTGTGCTAGTTTTTCTCTTTCACAGCAGCATTTTTCAACCTCTTAGTGCCCCAAGACTGGAAAAGACTTCTTCATCTCTAGTGTTTAAAAAAAAAAAAAAAAGGAATTAATACCTTCTTTGATGGCATTACTTTAGAAATATGAATAATAATGGAAACTCTGATCGGTATTTTTCTAAGTGCTTTTAGGACAGTATTTTTCTCATTTGCTTCTTAATTAAAAATGTCAATGTCCTATGTTTTTAGTATTTGAGAGGGCAAGCATTCAGCAGAGGCAGCAGAGCTCTGTGGAAACAGCCAGTGAAATTTTGAGCCCTTATTTAGGTAACAGACATTACAGAAGAGGGTGCATTCCATGCACATGCAGCACCAGGAAATTATTGTATAATTTGTTCTCAGCTCTTTGCAGTCCTGATTAACCTGGCTGTTACTTCCTTGTCCAATAGAGGCAGGAAAAGCTGCTGGCAGTGCAGTGACACCCAGCTGAGGGTCCACCAGTTATATGGCTGGAGCACAGCTGTATCCCTGCTCCTCTGGCCCATCCTGCCATCCCATGGCTGTCCTGGAGACTTGTGGTCCCCAGGCTGCTGCACTTTACAGCCCAGCTATTAACATAAACTGCAGTCAGCAGTGGTTTATGGTCATGCTCCGAGCTGTAAAATCAGATGGCTCAGGAGAAGACACATGATTGTTCAGGTTTTATGCAGAGGAAATTAAGAGCTGTGCTGGAGAGGGAGCGTGGATGTTGTGGGGGACAGGGAGTCATATCTCCTTAATCACCCTGCATGTCTCTGTGCAGCTTTTGAGGAGAGAGACTGGGTTCAAAGCATGGTTATTTCAAAAATATGGCATCACTTAACAAAGAAAAATTATTACCAGACATTTCTGTAATTTTTGTGTATTAAAAAGTACCTAAGGATTCCTGGATGCATAAGGACTTCTTGGCTTGTGTTTTAATTACCTGAACAATTCAGCAGTTTATATGTACTGTGGCATACTTCTGAAAGGCTTTTTTTATATGTTTTTGGTTGAAGTTATCCTATCTCACCTTGCTTCTTTCTGGCAGAACAAAATAGTATTAACAACTACTAATTTTTTCTGAAGATGGGGTTTAGCAGTTTGTGTTGCTCTAAGTCCATGAAAGGGTGATCACTCTTCCTGAGCTGGGAATGAGTGGCGTTGGAATCCCTGAAGAGCCCTGGAGTCCCATTGTTGTTTCTAGAAACAACAGATGACAACAAATCTGAATGAGAGACCATGACCCCACGAGCAGCCCTGTCTCTCAAAGCTGGCAAGCCAGTTATAACCTCCCTCTGGTTATACCAGGGTCATTCTGATAAAGCCATGTCAGAGTTTCAGGTAAGTAGAGCAGCCCAGGGGCAGTTACCTTCCTGTTTGCATAAGCATGTCCCATATATATGTTCTTGCTTTCATATGACTTTGTCAGATCCTCACTTTTCATGGTGTAGTTTGCTGGATTGATCTCAGCCTGCATGATGCCAGTGAGAGAGATTATCCCCTAACATCTAAAATACATGTGGTAGGATACATTTATTTTAAAATAAACTATATTTTAACCAAAACTTGGCAGGAATTTTTCATACTCAGTTACTTGTCGTGCTGATGAGCAAATTACAGGTTTTTGCTCAGGATGAATAGGATGGCTATACTTTAATGATTTATGGATGAAATTGCTGGTTGGTGCATCTGTTTCTCTGTGCATTAGTGCAATTAGCAAACTGTCACCAGATTAGAAGCAAATATTGCTTTGTATCGATATCTGGCAAACTGTGCCACACATAGCACAGCTCGCTGTCAAAGGGCCACCTTGTTGAATAGTTGTCATTTAGATCCAGCCTAGCTACATTAAAAAGAAACAGTCTAAGAACTGTAAAAAAAGAGTATTTAATGTAGAAGGTGGTAGTAGTTCTCCAGAAGAAACAAACCTCTGGGGTTGTTCAGCCTGGAGAAGAGTAGTTTTCAGGGAGACCTCATTGTACCTTAAGGGGGCTTATAAAAAAAGGAGGGAGAGGGACTTTTTATACATGACAGATAGTGACAGGACAAGGGGCAATGGTTTAAACAGAGGGAGGTTTAGATTAGAGTTTAGGAAAAAACTCTCTATCTAGAGGATGGTGAAGCACTGGATGAGGCTGCCCAGAGAGGTTGTGGATGTCCCATCCCTTGAAGTGTTCAAGGACAGGTTGGATGGGGTCCTGAGCAACCTGATCAATTGAACAGCATCCCTACCAATTGCAGGGGGATTGGAACTAGATGGTCTTTAAGGTCCCTTCCAAGATAAACCATTCTCTGAATAGTTCTCAGGTAATTTTTTTCTATTCCATAAATGCTGCTGAACTAATGTCACTCCAAGCTCTTTTTACTGTAGAAATGTCAATAGTGCATGAAAACCATACTATATGAACATAAAAAGGATGGTGAGTCTGATTTGCCACACAGGGAAGATTCATTCCTGTCAGAAAAGACAGCTGTGTCAGAAGGGGCACCCAAAATGTAAGTGTGCAGTGGTAACAGTCAGGCTCTGGCACATTATAGGTAGAGACTGCATGAAAGGTGTATTCTGGTGCCCTGGTCACATCCTTCCTTCATTTGGGTGCTCCTTCCTCAATGACCATGGTGAGGACTCAGCATCCAGGCTCCTGCAAAGCATTTCTGGGAAGCAGAGTTGTGGGCAGATGGCATTGCACCTCCTGTGTTTTTCCAGACAAGTACTCTGTCACAAGTGCTCTCAGAGTAAATCAAACCCCCTC